AGAAAACGGCAGAAGTCCCATATACATCACTTTGAGGAAAAGATTCATAGTCTAAGTAACTTTTTTTCCTCGTAGCACCAAAGATCAGAGCCTAGAAACTGAACGCCAGTGAATAGTCATCAATCATGCCTAACATATATTACTAAGGAACACAAGATATTCTTGTGTTTGCATCAGGAATTGTTGTTGTTACTAAACACAGAAGGCAAATGTCATGATAACCAGGAGGATCTTGCCAGCAGGGCAGGCTGATCCCTGCAGTATATATACTGCTGTGTTCATAAATGGCTCGATCCAAAGCCCATTCCCACTTGTAGTTAGACTACATTTACTCAATGCTGTTACATTCAAAATCATTAGAGTCTGCATATGTAAAACTACAGCACATCTGTAGTCTCAGAGAGGAGAGGCAGATTTTTGGGGGTTGAAGGGGGCAGATGTCCAGTATAGGTCAGGGTAAAATAAAAGGCATCTGATACCTCCAGAGGCTTCTGGTTTAGTGCTCTGTATTCATCGTGTGTAAAAGCAAGTATAAAAAATTGGGATCATACACAATATTTCTGTCATTCAAGGGCTGCAAGTCTGCAAGATCCAGAAGATGATGGAAAAAAGGAGGGAGCTGGGGCCACAGGCAGAGCACCAGGAAGCTGTGCAGGGGGGAGTTCAGAAGGTCCTCTTCATCTGTAAAAGCTACTGGATGCTGTGCTGGGCAGTATCACGTTTATTATATTGTTAGCACTCAATTTGTGGAGCTTGCACAGGCTAGGCTTTTGCTTTTCTTGATTTCTGGGTACTGTTTCTACCCTGTGGTTTTAAAGGAGAGGAAGCTGCTCTAGGCTTAAGTTGTCCAGAGGAAATTTTCCAGTTTTGAGGGGCAGTTGAGACTGACAGCATTGTGGACCATTCACTGGGGTTGCAGAGTATCTCTCTGCACAGTATTAGCATAATGACTCTATTTTCTGTCAGCCTTCTGGTGTGTGTTTTCCCTTGTTCATTAAATTTAACAAGGTAGTTTATTGTTTTTTCTTAGTGCTTTTTTGATCTAGTGTTGAACTGATTTGACTGATTAAGGGGATTAATTGCTGTGCAAAAAGCTAATGAGAAAAAGGTGGAGTATGAGAAGATCTGGTTAGTATTACAAAATACTTGTTGTTTAATTAAACCACACTCTTCGTAAAGGCCTCATCCAAAAAACCACCAAAGTCCCTGGATATAATTGAGGTTTGGATCTGGATTTTAATGAGTACAGCAACTTCATAGTTAATTTTTCTTGTGATAAATGCTGTTGAGGTGCAAGAGGTGTGATGACTGTCCCTGTCCCAGTCTACCTGACTGCTGCCTTTAGCTGGGTGTACAGCATCTTGCCTTTCCATTCGTGTTTGTGCAGGGAAATGCTGCCTACCTGTAAGTGTTGGTCAGAGTTGTTAAACCAAATTAATAAAAGTTTCTAAGGTTATTGTGCTGCCATGTGGTTCTTTTTCTGTTTTTGGGGGGGGGGGGGGGGGGGTTGGCTTTGAGTGTTTTCTGGGGAGTCTGGGGTTTTTTTCACTGGTTGTTAACTATGTTTCCCATCACCAGACTGTATGTTAAACTAGATACTGACAGAGCTACTCCAGGGAAGATGCTGCAGACTGGCAGACCTGGGGGAGCTTTCTTCAGAAATCAAGAAAAAATAGATGTTCCATCTATTTAGTGGTGGTGTGGTAGCGATAGAGCTAGAGCAGAAACAGCAGCAAAAGGAGGCTGCAGTTTGAGTTCTGCCCCTCAAGTTAACAGCAGTGCCAGTGCATGGGAAATGGGGTTCATTTTTTGGGCATTACATCATTCTGTCCAGGCCAAAGTTTAATATTTTCTAACCTGGGCCTTCTGTCAACTGCAGGTACCTGGTTTTCCCTGTGAGTTCTGTATCCTTGCTGCAGGCAGAAGAACTTCATTTTCTTGATATAAGCTGCTGAAAGAAGATCCTACTTCACATTGGCCTGGGGCTGTGCAGAGCATTGTGCTGTAAGCAGCAGAGTCATGACAAATGCATGCAAAAGTGAAATCACTAATTTATTGTATTATTGTGTCCTTAGTGGCTTGTGACACATAACTGATAAGCAGGCATTCCCTCTCACTTTGGGCATTCCCTCTCACTTTGGGCATTCTCTGTCACTTTGGGCAGTGTTTTGTTATCTTTCCTGAACTTGCTTAATGAAATAAAAAGAAATTAAAACTTGAAGGGCTGCAGCAGTGTGGCAGTGGAGCAAGCACACATGCATTTCTATATCCATGTAACTGTATTACTTTGGTTTTCAACATGTAAAAATCTCCTTAGCTTCTAGCATTTATTTGTCTGTTTTATCTGTCAGCCCAAATTGTGAGCGGATGGTGAACTATTTCACTATCTTTTTTTAATCTTAATGTGGAGAATTTTTATTTCTGTTGGCAGAGAGCCTTTCCACTAGTCCCATAGCCTGCCTGCTCTCCTTATCGAGACCAGAATGCAGCAGCTAGCGACTACAGTTTTTCAGCTGCTTGTACTTTCCCAGATTTAACGTGAACGTAATTCATCCTAATAACATAAAGCATGGACACAAAAGCTGTAGTTAACAGGAACAATTAAACAAGGACCAGCAAAAGACAGCAGAGGAGATCAGAGGGGGCCCGTCTAATGGTGCTTTGGGGCTTCATAGAGAATGAAAGCCAATTAATTAAATTAAAAACAGTGAAGCTGAGCTGGTCTAATTCCTCTCTGAGCTGCTTGGTGTGTAGGAAAGAAGCAGAGGAAGGTGAGGAGACAGGGCTGGGGGTGAGGATGTGTGTCCAGTCCCCCTGCACCCAGGATGGAGGCACTTGCAGAAGCCTTGAAATCAGTTTGAGGAAGACAAGAAGAAAAATGTCCATTCTCTAAGCAGCTGTGTTCCAGCTTCCTTGTACCTGCTGTTGTACTGGTCTCCATTGGGGGAGTTCTGTTTTGTTCTTGTTTTGGAGCAGAGAACCTCAGAGAAAAAAACAAATTGGCCTCCCAAATCTCATGGTTATCTCTGCTAGTCCAAATTGCTGCTCTGACTGCTTGTTAGCAGCTTGCAGACTGCATGCTAGTGAGGCAATTAAGTGAGGTGAGGAACAACTTCCAGCATTGCTTCCCTCTACCTCCTTCATGGGTTTGCTGCAACAGCAAAAGCTGTGGAAGATGGTGGGAGGAGGAGTGGGGTGAAGTGTGTGTTGGGATCATGTGCAATAGAAACAAAACTGCAGAGCGGAGCATGAACCTTTAAATCATCTTGTGACTGGATCAGTCTCATTTTGAAAGCAGAATCAAAATTTGAAAGATGATTTACTATGAAGGCAGACAAGCTGTGGATGGAGTTTTTAAAGGTAGAGTGATTTGATAAAACAGTCTTGGGGAATTGCTGTCTGTGGTACTGTCTAGACCTGGAGCTTAGAAGCCTTGCCCATAGGCTCCTAAATCACATGAATTGCCTTGCAGTCCAGAAGTGTAACTGCAGCTGCTGTGGGTAAACATTGTGTGCTGAGGTTCAAGATCAGGCGTGGAGCCCCATGGAGGGTTTTTGTCTTTTATTTGTTTCTTGCAGGCTGTGGCATATTTTACTTTCTGATAATGTCCTGGCGTTCTGGCAGCAGTGGTTCTGCTGTGCCTTGTCCTTAGAGCCTGTTCCAGCTTGTGCTTTTACCCTTGCTGGAAAATCAGTGGATTTAAGACCTTATTGCCTTAAATATGTTAAAAAAAAAACCAAAACAACAAAACCCATCTCTGTGCTTTTGAGCTGGTTTCTTTGCCATCAGTTACCACAGCCTATGTGGCACTTGCCACACGAGACACAGTGCCAGCTGTAGTAGCAGGAAGCTGTTCGCTGTTGCACCCTCTATCAGCCAATAAAACCTGTGACCTTGTCCATATTCATTAATGTTTATTAACACAGTCTGCACCTAAACATACCTACTGGGTTTGTGCTAGCTTCCCAGCGTGACCTCAGACGTCACTGTGGGATCGGGCAATGCAAACAGGGCTCAGTCTGTCTAGGGTCGGTGAACATAACCGCTTTGGAGGTGGTATCACAGCTGGACCATGTTCAACTTCCCTCCGGGCCGGAACAGCCACCTGGGATGTTTTGCATCGAGTTAAAATTACTGTGCTTTGTTTTGTTCTTAAAAGACTCTGCTGCCCCAGGTGAGGGGCTGCAGGGGTGTTTCCCTGGGAGAGCAAAGGAAGTTTGCAGTTCAAGCCATGACGGGGTGGCTCCTGTCCCACAAGAGGACAACATCATGTGTGTCAGGGCAGCATCAGGTTGCGGGGACCTCTCTAACCTCCAAGAGCCACCCATCTCCTGGGCATGGGGAGCAGCGACACCACAGGGCCCTTCTCTGCCCGTGCTGGACGAGGCTGAGCCCAGAGCTGACGTTGGTGCGGGCAGGGTCTGGCAGCAGTTAGACGGGGGGGCACGGGGTCACCTTATTCCGCAGCCCGCCTGCAGCAGCGCCTGCATGGGGGCCGGGGGCAGCCAAAGTTCTTCCCTTGCCCCCAGGGTGGGCTCCGCAGCAGAGTGTTGTCAGCAGGCAGCTCTGAAACTGGGCAGGAGGGGACAGGTTATGTGTCGTGGCAGAAAGCTGGTGTCCACCTCGAGACCTGGGGGCAGAGGCTGAGGGGTGGACACTTTGGTGTAGTTTGGGTGAGATCTGCATCAATTCCCAGCCCACCTCCTTGCAGGCCCTGGCAGTTCATTGACAATAAAAGTTTCATTCTGTTTGCCTTGTCTGTTCAATGAGCAGTTTGTGATCTAAAATTAAGTTGTCCGACCCCGTAAAATAATGGAAGCAGAAAATGAGCTCTCCTTTGGGCTCAGAGGCTGCTCCCTCCTTTTGCATTTTATTCCCCCAAACCTTGCAGCTTATACAGCAACTCCCAGAGCCTGCATCTACGCTTCCAGGTAAGATAGATGGTTCCTCCGTATTTTATGAGGCCATTAAGTTGCTCTCCAGAAGCCCCAGTGAAGCCGTGGTTTCGTTAGTGAATGATTTTCTCTCTCACCTGTTTGTTCATGAAGACGTAAATGATTGGGTTGTAAACCGTGGCTGTCTTGGAGAAGTAGGAGGGCAGGGATGCGAGAGCTGGCTGGATAGTGATGTCTGTGTTGGTGGCCACCACCAGGGCAAACGTGGTGTAAGGCAGCCAGCAGATGAGGAAGGCCATCACCATCACGATCACCATGCGCGTCACCTCCCTCTCTGCCTGCTGCGTTGTGTCTGATTCCTGCTGCTGCGCCGCAGCCTGTGGGGAGTTGGGAAGAGAGATGCCCATTAACAACTTCCAACAGCATTTCCATCCCTCAGGCACTCTGACATCAGCACCAGGAGATGGCTGCTCTGGTGACTGTCACAAAAACCTGATGTGAGGTTCATGATCCCATGGCTACATGGGGTGATGTAGCCTTACCGTCAGTTTTGTGACCAGAAAACCATTAACTCGCCTGTACTGGCCGTACTTACTGCCCGCAGGGTCATCAGCAGGTTGGCATAGGAGAAGAGGATCAGGCTGAGGGGCATCACAAAGCAGGTGACAAACAAGGCCAAGATGTAGCTGTTGTTGTTGCTGCCACCGGTGTACCAATTGGGCCCACAAGAGGTTCTCAGACCTGGAACAAGTAAGTTTTGAATCAAGCCTAAACTGGTCATGGGCTTGGACAGGGTCTCAGTAACAGCCTCCAAAACAGCAGCCACCAGCACTGCCCCCTTGTATCGATGCTGCTCAAGCACCTCTGGCTTTTCCATCCCCAGTGACTTGGAGATCAGCCACCACGTTTGCTGGCTGGCTGCTTGCTGTGTCAGAGGAGAGTGATGTGTTGTGATGTACAGTGTTATGCCGAGCCTCTCCCTCTCCGCAAGCAGATTTGGGCTGGGTGTGTGCTGGGTGCTGCTTGTTGTGCACCAGCGGCCAGAGCAGCCCGTGGCTCCAATGGCCATCAGACATGGAAGAACAATTTATTGTGTCAAGCAGTGGGTAACTGCTGAAGAACAACCTCTGAGAGAGGATCGTTGACTGCGCAAGCAGTGGTGTTAAATTCCAAGTACCAGCACAGACACTCTCCAACTACTCCATTCTTGAGAACTGTATGCAAGAGGGCAACACTTTGGGGTCTGCAGCACATCCCCCCCTACCTTCGGGCACATAGCTGCTCCAGCCCATGAGCGGTGGGGTCGTCCAGAGCAGTGACCAGCTCCATGTGAAGGCGCAGCCGCTGATGGCGTGCCGGTGCTGGAGCCGGAAATCTCCCAGGGGTCTGCAGACCACAATGTACCGCTCGAAGGCCAGGATGGCCAAGGACCACAGCCCCACGATACCTGGGAGAGAAGGAGGGTTGGCTTGGGAACAGGCTCTTACTGCTCTGCTGCCTGTGCTGGGACTTGGCAGACAATGATTAAGAGCTGTTGAAGTCATAACAAGAAGTCAGATGGGTTTTGTTATGACAGGGGTAGCTGGGAGGCTGTTTCACCCTTAAAAATGAAGTTGGCAATTGCGTGTCAGTGGTGCATCGTGGTTACAACCAGTTTCTCCACTGGAATGTCTCTGACAAAGGTTTTGTGCAGTGAAACATTCCCCAAAGCTTCTTTACTAAACACAACAGCCCCAGCCAAAGACCAAGACAGGTCTTGAGGTTTGTGCCCTTACCTGTCAGGGAGACCATGAAGCCCTCCAGCTCACACAGCCGTTTGCCGAACACAAAGAAGCCGTTGATGTTGTTGGAGAAGCTGACGGAGCTGCCGCAGAGCGTCACCAGCAGGTTGGCCACGGCCAGGTTCACCAGGATGTAGTTCAGGGGCGACCGGAGCTTCTTGTACCTGATGGAAACCACGATGACCAAGGTGTTCACAACCGAGGCAAAGACCACAACGAAGCCCATCAGCACGGCCACCGACAGGTACGTGCTCCGTGGGGCCTGGTAGGGCCATTGGGGGCCGTCAAAAGGCCCCGGGGTCCTGTTATTTGGGGGCTCCTGCGAGCTGTTGGAGTACATGGGTCTTCTGGAGCAGTAGCACCGGTGCCCCTTATGCAGGTGACCCTCCCCAAATGCAAAGCCTCTTTATAAAGCAGGAGGGGCTGACGCACCCCAGAGGAGCTTTGCATTGAAATACCTTAAGCTTTTATTTAATCTGAAGGGTTTGGCCTCCCACCCCCCCTTTTATAATCAGCTCTTTATTCTGGAGGGGATAAAAGGTGACTTAAAACCTGATGACTGAATAGTGCATCATTTAATTGAGTAAATAGATTGGTTTGCCTTCTGCTTCCCAGCTGCCTTCTCCATTAAGATGTCCCCTGCCCAGCCCTGCATGGCCTCAGCGAGGTGCAGGGTGTTGGGATGGAGGCAGAAGCTCCCCTTTTGCTTGGGAAAAGGAGCAAAGGAAAATCCCAGCCAAGCACATTGGCTCCTGAGGGCGGCCAGCCGGCTACTGCCAACAGCCACGTGCTGGCCCTGGTCTGGTTCAGCTGCTTCAGTTACAAATATACATGATAAACATACATTAAATATAGTAATATACCAAATAACATATTTTAAAACTAAATATAGGTCCTATATAATATATATTACATATTTATAATATTACCTAAAAGAATTAGTGTGTATGTATGCATATACATTCATACATGAATGTATTTGGATGGAGCATGCAAGGAAGATCATGAGCAAGCATGCTGCCTGTAACTGTGCGTCATACATATATAATATATAATACAGACTACCTATATAATATGTAGAATACACTTACGTAACCTATTAAATAAAAATCTGTTATACACATAGATATGCATATCTATATCAGATATACATATAGACTTATATAGGTATATCAGGTATACACATAGACATACACGTTTATATGTACTGCATACATATAAACATACAGAGTATATATATAATACATATTTTATTATGTTATAAAGAGTGCATATATATGCATGCTTTCATAGGTATGTACACCTTTGAATATAGCTACCTGTATCTGTAACTATATATGATACTTACATTCACATATATATTTTTATATAGAATATTAGATATATACAGTATATATTTTATATAGTAGATGTAGCATATAAACAGATACATATACACATATATAGCTATGTAAATATTTATATTTTTTTATACACATGCATAAAATAATATACAACAATGCATGTCCATACATACATGGATACATATATAGCTTGTATACATGTATGTAGAGTTCTATATACACATAAAGTATACACTACAGTATATACACGTACACTATATGATATAGTGTATACTTATATATTAATAATTTCTATGTTATACATTTTATACACACACATATAAATTACATATTTGTATGCATATAATAATTATATAGCATTCACTTTCTATAGAAAAAATACTATAGAAAGTGAATTTATATACTTATATATATAGTTATATAGCTAGCTATGTATAGCTGTACACTGACAGACACCCCTGACACTCACCCCACTCCCCCCCTCCCCGGCTGCACATCCCTGGGTGGCCGCAGCCCTATGCAAGGCTTTGGTCCCCTGAGCCCATTAAATGGGGTTGATGCATTAACGCTGTGTGTGGGGCTGGACTCTTCCTGGGCTGCTGCAGGCTGGGGCCAATACAGATCATGTAGCACCAACCCAGTGCCCAGCTTGAGATGGGAGAGCCTTGGTCCTTAGTTGCTGTCCCTGCCCTGACACGCACCACACGTGCATGTGTCCAGGGATGCTCGGCCTGGCTCTGGATCCTGTCCCACTGCTGCTCCTGCAGAGACAAGCATGTAATTAATTAACTCATTCATGTGAACTGTGGTCAGTTCTGGGCTCCTCAGCACAAAAAGGACAAGGAGCGACTGGCAGGGTCCAGTGGAGGCCACAAGGATGATCAGGGGTCTGGAGCATCTCTCTTACAAGGAGAGATTGCAGCAGATGGGCTTTAGTCTATAGAAGAGCAGACAGAGAGGGGATCTCATTAATGCAGATCAGTATCTCAAAGGCAGGTGGCAGGGGGATGGGGCCAGACTCCTTTCAGTGGCGCCCAGCAACCGGATGAGGTGCAATGGCCATAAGCTAAAGCACATGCATGAGGATACAGGTATATATAGTATGTGCATATAGATATATATATTTGTATTGCTTTAGGGAGTGGATATATATGTAAAGAGTGAGCGTGTGTGTGTGTTTTCATTTCAATGCAACAGTCTTGGCCAAGGAGCAGTGATGATGAAGGTGGATGTGAAGAGCTAACATCATCAGGGCATCCCAAGGGAAATAACAGCCTCCAAGGAGGGGATTGCCTTAAGCACTGATAAGCAGCCTGGCCTGAGTATTAACCTCTGCAAATATACATTCAATCAACCCAAAACTATAGTGGGGAAAACAGACATTACAGGAGGCAGTTGGAGCACGCGGCACCCTCCCAGAACAGGGAGGTGTCTCTGCACCTTCACCCTGGGGAGCACAGTCACAGTGTCCAAGATGGCAAAAATCCATGTGGAGACTGCCCCGGCCCAGCCACGGGCACCACATGGGGCATCTCCAATGCCCTTCTGCTGCTGCTGCTGAGCAGGCCCCTGGGTGCTGTGAAGTTAACGGGAACTTCAGAAAGACCTGGGGTTTTTTTTTGGTTTTATAATCCTGTCTTGACTGATCTCCCTCACCCTCCACTGCCGGCCCTTATGGTCCCTGTGCAAGCTCACAGCACCAAAGCAGAGCAGGGTCCTGGTGGAAGTGGGGGACATGGGACCCACACTGTTATAGTGTCTTCTGTGGTGTTTTTTCAGCAGCAAGAGGTTGCAAAGTGGAGGATAAAGTCCAGCAACACCTGATGCTCTGGTTTAAAACTATCTCCTGCTCCCCCTGAGTCCCTGCTGGGCCCCAGATCCTCTTCATCTCGTGTCTCTGGGTCGCTCAATGCTCCATCTGCGATGCCCCAAGCTCAGACACCATGATAGCAACATGGGGAGATTCAAAAGCTACACCACCAGCACTAACCTTTTTTATTTTCCCTTTTTATTTTGGGTTCTCATTATAAATATTAACAAATCTGACAAAAAGTACACAGATAGATAATACTGAAATACAAAAGTCTTTTAGGATGCAGGTAAGGACAGTTTCTGCAGCCTTCACATGGTAGCAAAACATTGGTATCAAACATTTCACAAGGCCTGGCATGACAACCACCACTGCATGCAGCTGGGACGGACGGACGGATGTCCGCTTAGAAAAGACTGGGATACAAAATGAAGGGACCCACACACACATCATGTCCTACTCTACTTCGGTTTCATAGCAAGATGAGCTAAAACAAATGATGGATTGAAAGTAACTTCACCAGAAAAGGGAGGCACAGCCGACATGGTGCTCCTGTGGCTCTCCTGGAAGCTCAAACCCAAGGCAGGTTTTAAGGTGCTGGACCAGTGACAGACTGAGAGGATTATTTGGAACATCCTACTTGACACGCTGCCGGCATTCAAACAAAATCCATGCATATCTGGAGAGTATATTACAAATACTAAGGTATTAAAAAAAACCCTATGAATGTTGGTCCCCCCCATATCAAACAAGGTGTAACACGATCGTCACTTTGGAAAGGAGACCTAGGTTTCCAGAGATCCAATTGCTCTCCAAAGAAAGAAGTTGGCAACACACACACACACACACACAGAGCTACAGGGCTCAGAAGCTGTAGGTAATTGAGACTGATGGGCAAACAGCAGCTCTTCCTAAGAAATCATGGTTTAAAGGCTTCATAACTTGCTGGCAAGGTGCAGCATTTCACAGACAGTTTTAGCTCATCCCACCATGTACCAGCTCTTGTGCAAATGTGACAAAGCGGTGTTTGCACGAGAGCCAGAGCCTGATGGGATGAGGATGCAGGGACTGGCCAGCGTGGGTCATGGAGGATGAGAGCTGGGATATATTATGATAATATTATTATACTGTTACTGTGCTGTACACAGAAATTTGGTCTGGAAGCTGTTTGAGGCAGAAAATAGACCAACGAATGGCTGTGCTGGAGCTGAGCATCTCCACAAACATGAACACTGCTCAGCCCCGTGGCTCAGCTCACACCAGCAGCTCACAGCGCAAAGTGCCTTGGTTGGATTTTAGGTAATGGCATGAATTGGAAAAGGCAGAATAAGGGAAAAGTGATAGAAAAACTTAGCCTGAAAGCCAGCTTTGCTGGAAGAACAGCCGTGCTGGAGCATGGCTCCGGGGGGAAGGCATGGTTTCATTAGGAGAGCAGCTGCTTCCCGAGAGGACGAGCACAACATTCCTGGAAGGAAAGCAAACAGTCTTCTAGGTTACCAGAGGACACAATCATTCAAATGGAGGAGCTTTAAATGCATAAAAGACTGTTTAGGCCCAAATCACAGAGACTGACAAACCACCAGAAATATGGCACAATTGCCTTGAGAAAACAGTACCAGTTTTAGAGACACCTTTTGATCATATTAGATACATGAATGGAAATGATGCATTCATTCCTGCCACTGAATTACAAGGCAGCGAGAAGGTAATTCCGTAGAGCAGAGAGTTAGGAGAGGAGTCACAACTGCAGTGCATGCAGGCGTGTGGTGTCCATGTGCACGTGTGTGTGTGTGTGTGTGTGTGTGTGTGCATGCGTGTGCATGCTCATGAGTGTGTGTCAGGGTGCAAAGAGGCATTCTGGAAAAGCCTTAGGGGACGGGACCTGCTGAGCAGAGCAAACCACTGCTGCCCTGCTCCCTGGGAAGGGATTCCCTGCAGCCAGGCCGTGGCATGGGGTGTCCCGCTCTGCCGGCTGCCCCGGTACCACGATCCCCCGTATCCAAAGCCATAAAGGAGTGGAGTCCAAAGGCTGTGGCCGGCAGAGCCGTGCTGGCCCTGGAAGCAGCCCCGTGGTGCTCAGTCGCTGAGGACGGCCCCCGGCAGCTCATTCGTTAGCGTGTGCCAGCGCTCGATTTTCTTGTCCTTGTTTTTCAGGCAGTCGAACCAGTGCTTCAGCCGCTCACCCTTGGCGTTAATGCCCAACACAACTCCACCTTGAGAGACAGACACAGAGAGAGGGAGAGGTGGAGGTGACCATCAGCCCTGTGAGGGATGCTGAGGGATGCAGGATGGAGCCAGGTCACGCAGCTGCTCTCACAGCATCCGATGCCACAACCTGATGTGACACACGGGCAATCACAGCCTGGCTTCCCCAGCACCTCATGGCTGTGGTCTGGGACCTGCTTGTGCTTGTGCCAAGGATTCATTGCAATTGCAGTGGCTGTCAGAGACATTGGGCACTTGTTAGCAATAAATCACAGTGACCAGTAACAAAATCACACGAAGTCTAGATACCCAATAGAGATAAATGAAACCTCCCCTTAAACCTGTTTTTTACTCAGAAGATCTGAAAACAGAAGGGAGAGGGGGATGCGTCTTCTCCCTGATTGGGTGCTGCTTGTGAAGCAATGAGCAGTGGGGCTGGCTGTGGGAGAGGAGACTCAGGTGCAAGAGTGGGATAAAAGCAGAAGAGAAACCCAGCAAGAATGAATGTGGGATGGAGAACAAGCCAGGTGGCTGGAGAAGTGCAGGAAAGCAGCAGATGAAACAAGAGAGCCACAGAAGGTGAAGATAAAAAGAGGCTAAGGAAGCCTCTGGAGTGCCCCACTCACCTATGAAATCATTTGATTTCCCGATATCATAGTCCCACACTGTGACTTCCAAGGTCTTTTTTGCCAGGTCCCCATGCTTTATTTCATAGCAAAACTCCTGTTGGGGAGCAGAGACAGAGTCAGAAGGAACCAGGGGGCTGGGTTGGGTTTTTTTAATTCCTTTTAAGTCTGAGGACTGAGAAAGCCCCTGGCTTTCACCAACCATCAAAACCCCACCTCATTGAACTCGGGGTTCAGCGTCTTCTTCTTCACCGCCGTCTTATGCTTTGATTTCTTGTCCTCATCTGGTTTCAAGTAACTGCAACGAAACCAATGCACTGTCACACACAGCTCCTGTGCCTGCTCCCAGCAAGGAAGGGCTGTGGGGCCCTCCCCTGCAGCCCAGGTATGCATGGGGGCAACCTCTGGCTGTGGAACAAGCTCCTGAGCAGAGGCAGGGTGAGATGGGGGACTGAGCCCCCCAAACCTGCAGCTCCCTCCTCCCCTACCTGCCAAGATGCTGGAGATGGCTGGAAGGAAGCAGCATTTCCCCACGTTAGCACAAGACCATCAGAGCTGCCATCAGAGAGCACCGATTATCCCATCTCCAGTCCCTAGGGGACACTGGCACTGCACACATGCTCCCAGCTCCCAAACCCAAACACTTCCAGCCCAGATTAGTCCAGATTTGGGACTGTGTGACCAGTCTGCTCATCCAGAGCCTTGCCAGGAGACAGAGGCCACAGGCAGGTGTGTAGGAGGGAGCAGGAGCAAGTGCAGCGGCTGCAGCTTTGTGCACCGTTGTTACCTGCAGATATTTAGCAGCACAGCAGCAGCGTCAGAAAGCAAAGGAGATTAAAGTGTCATCAAGCAGACAGGGCACCTGAAATCTGTGCCATCATCCTTTTGTGCTGGTGCTGCTCCTTTAAACATCAGTTCTACTTCCTCGTTACACTTTCCAGATCTTGCTCATAATTAAAAAATTAGGGCTTGTACCAAGAAGCATCACTTGTCTATATCTGCTCTGATTAAAGCCCCGCAGATACAGTCTACTGCAGACAGCACAAGGGGCACCTACAAAACAACTGTACAACAACTGTAATTCTGTTAGTTCAGAGATTGAGCCTCCAATGAGCATTTAAAAAAGCAAGAGTGGATTTTTAGGCAAACACCTCCACTTTAAAGAACAATTCAATAGGAAGGTGAAAGCGTGCTGCTGATAAACTTCCTTACAGGCCTCCCGGGTGCAGTTTATCCCAGGAGCTCTGCCTAAACAAATGTCATCTCTGAAAGTGCCAAAGTCTGGGTCAGCACTGGGGGAACACAGGGGCATGGGATGGGCCCAGGGGTGCTGCCGGCCCTTCCTCACCATGACCCCCTGCTTTGCAGAGAGTGAGTTTGAAAAATGCTGTGCCAAAAAAAAACAGGAGCTGTGTGGCTGCAGGGCTCTGAGTCAGCAAACCACCATCTTCCTCAGCATCCCTTAATAGCCCCAGGATGACACCACCTTCCCTGAATCACTTGGGCGAGGCTGAGTTGCAGCAGCCCATTACAGTCATTTAAATGTCTTTTCTTTTTGTTTAATAACGCTGGTATTTTTCCAGTCATTCACATTGGAGAGGGACCTGTAAATGTGCCCTCAGCTCTGCTAACCAGACCCTGGAGCCACCGGAGCCATGGGCTGCACCTAAAGTGCTATCTGAACTAATCACACACACACACACAATGTAGTTAGAGCCTTTCCATGGATGATGCTGGCTTCCAAGAGTGAAAAAGCTGTGGATAACCCTGGGAAAGAAGACAAAGGTGCTCACAGCTGCTGGTGAGGTCCAGGACCATCGCCACAGGCACTGTCCTGCTCAGGGAGAGCCCAACCCCATGCTGACAGATGAGACCCACCACTGGCTGGGCTGGGGCCATGCAATCAGCAAAGCCCAACCATACCTGTCTGCCTTGGGCTACCCACTCTGCCCCTGCCACAGACCCTCTCCCAAGTGCCATGGGCAGTGCTGAGCCTGCCACGGGGCACCACGGCCACCATCAGCTGGCAGGGACAATGTGCTGCCCCAGCAGGGCCACACAGCACCGGGCAGCTCCTGCACACGTGGAGCTTTGGAGCACTGAGACAATCACTGGGCAGTAACACGCTCCAGGTGAATGCAAGCTCATTGCTCATTGCTCTCCTAATGAGCTCAAGTAGTTTCCACTGCAGGGAGAGACCAGAGGGGAGAGCACAGCCTCACCGGGACTGGCACGGCACGGAGCAGCACTCACATCTTGACGTAGGGGTCGGAGTAGCCATTGGCGTCCATGGCAGCGAGGTGGGCGCAGCGGATGATGCCCACCAGCAGCCCCTGCTTCTGTGAGCTGTACTTGAGGGAGATGAGGATCCGTCCCCGCTCCTCCAGCGACTTGTCCTCTGTTTTATCTATCTGGGGAGGGAACGCACGCAGTCTGGGGGCTGCTCCAGGACAGCACAGCCGCACACCCGCCTCCCCACCACGAGGAATACTCTGCCCATCCCTGATCACGTTTGAGGAGTCAAACTAACCCACTCTCCAACGTGCCACAGGGCCCACGCTGGGGAATGCTGGTCTGATCCCCACCACACTCACCGGCAGCTGCTTCTCCAGGCAGATGCTGAAGTTTTTGGTCTGGTTGGGCTTTAGTTTCTTCAGCGGGATCCGCGTCTCTCCAATGAACTCGTTGTGGCGGAACTTGTCCTCATCGCAGACCGAGATGCTGCAACAAGCATGGGGTGAGCGGGGCTGCTGGGGAGAAGGGAGGCGATGGCATGGGGCAAGGGGCTGCCCTGGCATGTCCCCCAGTGAGGGGAGGATTTCAAGGCTACCGTTCCCCAGGCCAGTGACTGCACCTCCTTCGTAGGCAGCTGGAGGACATAAATCTGCTGCTACAGCCTCGCCAGAGCAGCTTATGATGTTTAAATGTGACACCCAATGTCTTGGTCTGCTTCACCTCCACAGCAGAAACCTGAGGCTGCCGGGATGGATTATGGGCAAGGTCTGGGGATGTAGGGGGATGAGAGAGAGAGGCTGCATCACACCATGTCTCACAGCTCCTTCACAGAGTCACAAACGCAGAGCCACCTGCACAACCCAGCCGGGTCCCACAGCCATCTCTCATGCTCAGACCCCGTCCTGGCCAGGGCTTCTGCACCCTTCGGGATGGCTGCTGCCCTGCAGGCACTGGGCTCCTCCAGGGAGATGCTCACAAACCCTGAACATCACAACCTGCAGTGCTGCAGTTGCTGAGCCTAACACACCCCAGCCCAGGCACTGTCAGAAAAGCAACCCAGTGCCTCAAGCATCCTCATGGCTCTTCCATTATCAAAGTCATCAGTGACTAAAGCAAAACTCATCTGAGCTACCACCAGCCAGGCTGCATCCTGCCTGGCTGTGGAGGCTCTTCCTAAACCCACTCTTGAACTACAGGGCCAGGAGAAGCATGATTCCCAGCAGGGCTCCCTCTCTTCTGACCTGAGGAGTTCCTGAGCATGTCTCAGGGCGTGCCCTGGTCCTGGGGATCTGGCTGCCCAGGCTGGGACACAGAGGGGGTCTTCCAACTCCTCTTCCACCATGCAGACATGGGATCTGCAGACCCAGCCCTGCAGAAGGCATCACACCTTGGCCAAGCGCAGCTCTCCCAGCCACGCCGGGGTCCTGCACCCCGTGACGACAGCTACATCCGATGCTGAGTGAAGGCTGTTTTCCATGCAAAAGCTATAAATGCCTTTCCCTGAGCTGGCAGCTAATGAGTCATTTCTCTGCTGCTTCCCAGCCCATTCACAGCATCAGGAGAGACAACAGAAGAGCAGTTAGTGCTTGCAGGAAGACTCTGCTCGCAGCTCCTAAAATCCCAGAGAGGGTTCAGGAGGGTGGTGGCTGCCTTGTGAGGGACTGGCAGTGCTGCTGGAACTGGAAACATGGAAAGCCATCCCATCCCCACCAAAGGAAACATCCGGCATCCCTACAAGAACCACGTAGGGACCATCAGTACTCTACACCCATAAAGGAAAGGGGTTTCCCTTCCCTTTCCTCCTTTCCCCCCACTTAAAAAAAAAATCTTCTTACAGTCTCTTCTCATCCTTTTGCTGCCTGATTTTTTCTTTCTTTTATCCACTCCTGTTGGTGCCCGTTTCTCATGGGCAGCACTTCTGCTGCAGAGACCATGCTCCACCTTGCTGGGTTCCAACAAACAGGACCTATTTGGGAAGGGCTAAAAGTAATTAAAGATAGTGACCTGCTATTCCACCTCAGAGTAACTAATTGCACCCCGTGCTTCTGGCCTGTGCAGTGCCTGGATGGTTTACCCATGGATGGTTTATCTGTAGATGCCACTCTCCTGGTCACAAGTGAATAACCAGGTGGCAAGGGAGGCATGGGAATGGCTCAGTCACACAGCACAAGGACCATTAGGGCGACGGAGTGGCACAGGAAGGGGGGGTGGCAAAAAGTAATCCAATTGGGAAGATGGGGAATGCTGCTCTGCAGAAAACCATAGCTGGATGCAGCGTTACTATAGATACCTGCAAAAAAAAAAATCCTCACCCCACCACAACAGTAAAATCTTTGAAGAGAATCTCAAAAGCAGGCACAATATTTCCCATTTCCCTTCCTCCTCCCGCCTCTCTTTTAAAGAACAAAACCAAAAAAGGAGCAGCAGGAGCTCCAGACAAGCAGCAGCATCTGCCAGGCGTGTGCAACCCCACGCCCATCTGGCCAAGGCTCTGGGGAGGAGAAGCAAGCGTGCAGCAATCGAAGCAGAGGAGAGGAGCGTGGTCCTCACCAGGAGCTGGCAGCCCGGGGTCTGTTTTCACACCCGGCCGTTGCAGAGCGATGTGGTCTCCTGCATGCTCAGGGGAGGCAGGATTTGGTGCCTGTTTCACCTGGTAAGAACATGAGTAACAAGATCTTCCCCTGACAATGTCTAGATATGCCCAAAAGCACAAGATACCAAATGCAGTGTCCTACTTGATGTGAAGCTCCAGAACCACCCAGGATGAGTGGAAGCCCAGGAAGGAAATGACTGGAAAACTTCAGCAGTGGTGACAAGGAAAGCATCTCCAGTGTCACACCAGGAGAAGCTGGAGAGCCCCACCGAGCCCTATTTCACTGCCCATGGAGCCATGGGAACCCACTTGCTACCACCTTACCAAGCAGCTCTGAGAACACCAGCTCCTGTACAGCATGCTACAGCTCATGCAAGCCCCTGCGTGCCCTCCCCAGGGATGACTCCTGTGCCTCTGCACCACAGAGCCCTCTTTCAGCAGCAGCAGGGCACAAGAACACCCCACAGCTGCCCACGCTGCATCCCACTGAAGGCAACACACATCACTGGGGTGTTGGCCACCCCTTTGTCCCTACTGATGTCCCCAGCTAGTTAAGGTGTTTGCACAGACCCGAGTCCCTTGTGAGGCACACCTGCAAGACCTGGGAACTGCTGCTGTCTTCAAGCAGCTGGTGACACTGCCAGGTCTCTCCCATTTTCTTTCTGGCATCTCTGGCCACCTCTCAGGTGGGTCCCCTCTTTGTATGGTGACCAGAGGGGATTCAGACACAGTTTCATGTCAGCCCACCCAGTCCCTCTCCCTGGCTGCAGCTCATCTTCTCCAGGTGGGATTTTTAAGGTGGGTAGACTGGTGGTGCACCAGTGATGGAAGTGAGGGCAGAGAGCTGAGTCAGATGAGCAGGCAGCTCTGGCCCCAGCCCTCCCTCTGCAATTACACCAGCTTGAACTTTATTACAAGAAACTGATGTGATGGAATTTTATGCCTTGGATTAGAAAGTCAGCTCCATAACAAGCACCAAGAGGTGTCTCTGGCAGCCACACTCACCTGCCATCCTGATCCCTGTAACTCAAACATCACCCCTCCCTCATCTCTTTTTATTAATCCCTACCCCTTGAGCTCAGCTTTTGATTTGACAGCTTCCACTGAGGGGTCCCCACCTTTAAGTTTAAGGGCTGTGAAAACCACCTTGGAAGAAAACTAAGCAGCAAGTGAACAATCGCTGCTCATTAAACTTATTCTCCCTCCTACTCACCCTGGGCTCCTGGGTTACAGCCCTGACTCACGCACAGCTCAAGCAACCCCGCTCCATTGACTCATGACTTGCCCTCACACACACATTCCTCCGGCCTCTTTCCCATTGTGGAACAAGGAAAACAGGGGTCAATGAGGACCCTCCTCTACAATGCACATGCATGTAATAGGCACCAGAGTGTGCAGACAAATCTCCTGTAGCTAAGATCCTGAACAGTCCCTATAGCAACTTGGGAGGCTCTCAACGGAGGAGCAGATGTGCAGGTGATGCCTGCTTGGCTTAAGGACAGACAGTGCCTGGCAAAAGAAGAGAAAAAGGCAGAGTCCTGGGACCATCCAGCTTTCCTAAAAGCAAAAGGAGTATTCAGTGCTGGGCTCCATCACAAAATGCCTCAAAGTCTGAGCATAGCAACCACAGTAAAAGTCAGATGAAATTAGGAGTGTGCCTGCAGTTCTGGAGCAAAGCTCATTCAGCACTTCTGGAGTAAAGCAATTTGGGACCCCAAATCTCTAAGTGTCTGCAGTATGCCTATTAGACCTGATCAAATACTATTTCCTGAATAATATATTTAATGAGTCATGATGTTTGTCAAACACATGATTAAACAAATAATTCCTGGCATTCGTGAGCTAGCTGAGTATGATATGAATAATGCATCACTTTGCCAATATATCTGGATATGAATAATTGTATCCAATATCTGTCCAGCTCTGATATTTATTATGAATACAATCTATTTATTGCACATTACATGTATTATTTAAACGTAGGCGAGCGTATTCTGCCTATTCCAATTTCCCCTGTAGCATTTCTCTGCCTCCCCCTGCCATGCACCCTGGCTTCCCACCACCAGAGACTGCTGCGGCACAGCTGCAGACGGGGAGAAACGGTGCCTGCAAACAGGGACTGGAAGCGGGGACTGCAGGGTGGGATTTCCCCCTGGAGCAAACCGGGAACCTGCTCTCAGTCGCGGCCATCCCAGCCCTCCGAGTCCAGCATCTTTTGAGCGGCTCTGAATTTGCCTTCTCTCAGGATGGTGGGTGGTTTCGTTGCTATTAAGCCTTGGGCTAGACTCAAGGATATTTAATTCAATGAATGGATGAGACCTTTCAAGATCCTCCCACCTACTGTGTTTCATGAAATCTGAAGTATCTGGTGTTTTTTGAGGGGGTTGATTCATTAACAAAATCCTGCTTGACAGCGCAATTAGCTGGGCAGCCTTCACCTCTCCTTCTCCCTTGGGGGTGGCTCTCCTTGGGAGATGAACCCCAATGGTCCCAGGGCTTGGGTCTGTCACAGCAAAGTCACTCGACCAGCTTCGATGAGGCCACATGGGGATGAGGGGCAGCCTGCCAGGGCATGGCATGGGGCTGGGAGTCTCGGGCAAGAGGGATCCATTACTCTGCTCTCCAGGAGGCAAGGGATGCCCCTAGTCTGGCCCCTGCAATGAGGTGAATGCCACTCATCCCCCCAGGATGGCTGCAGGCACCAGCAGAGAGCCCTGTGCCAGCACCGCCCCACCAACCCGTGCTGGACACAGCCCACCAAGTGCCCAGGTGGGCAGGGAAGATTTTTGGGTGCTTTTCCAGCTTTGCTGCTGCACCACGTGCTCTGCAGGCGGCAGCGAGGCAAAGGCTGGCGGCAGCTTTGATCTCCACCGTTATTTTCACATTAAAGAGACTTTGCAAATCGCGTTCCCTGCCCCTCCATGAATCTCAGCACCGAGGAGGCACCGGGGGAACAATCACCTCCCAGACCGAGGAGAGCATCACTCATGCTCTTTCAACTACCCACAGCTGCCTTGCAGGAGCCTTGCCTGATTAGCACAAGGAAAGCCAGCGTCCCTGCAGCTTTGAAGTCCTCTTTTCCTGGCAGAGAAGGAGATACTTTGCCAAAATGATGGGCAGGCAAAGTGAAGCACCGAAGGCAGGACGATACACAGCATGGGAGATGCTTCCTACAGGAAGTGGCACCCACCACAAGGGTGAATGGCCATTGCCACTGGTGTGATGGAGAGGCTCATAGAAGAGAAACAGCTCAACCCACAAATAAAAGAGTCCTTGCTGAGCCCCAGTCACCAGAGACCCCAGGCCATCCTCAGGTAAAGCAGAGATCCCTCCCCTGAGGAGGTGCAACATCTCCCAGCCTTGTGTCCTTCTACTCGATTCAGTACCTGGTGTCTGAGAAGTAGAAAATCCAAGCAAGGAATTCAAATAAAAAATGGATTTTTCTACCTTGCGTCTGGTTTGCGAGAAGTCTGATCTCATCTAAACCTGCCTCAGGATAAGTAAAATCTCCTTTGCCAATATCTTCAACCTCAAAGATGGAGAAAAGAAAAGAGGGGGTTGGGGAATTGCTCCTAAAGAAAACGAAGAGCAGTTGAATTTTAGGCCCCGGCTCCCCCATGCAAGATAAGAAATGGAGCCACAGTGCTCAGAAGCTTTGTTTTAGAACAGGAATTTCCTGGGCCATAGACAAGAGCTTGAAATCCCACCTGAAATTCTGCCAAACCCACTGGGCAGAGCAGCTGAACACAGGCCCATTGCCCAAGGGCAGGCTGGGAAGAAGCACCAAATGCAAGGAAGGACACTGGGCCACCCCACAGCAGGAGAGGAGATGGCCCACAGGATAGGTGACAGCCCCGCAGCAGAGGTGATGCCTGGGAAACCTTCTCTACCCAGAAGTTTGTTTCTTTAATTCTCTGGAATCTTTACCAGGCAAAACCAAAGCCAGAAGCCCCAGCCCCATGGCAAGTTCCACTTCACAAACCTCTCTACTTCTCTGCTCACGCAACCTCCCCAGGGAGACAGCAGAGCCTCCCTAAGCCTCTTCCAGCCCTGTCTTGAGCCTCATTAGTGCTGGGGTGGTGGGGCTTGGGGCTCCCACACTTCTGGCAGGGACTGGGCTGTGCTAAATCCCATAGGACAGAGCCCACTCCATCTGAATGTAGTGCCAGATCCCAGCATTACACTTGGAGGTGAGGTGGGTATCCGCATGGTCCCCGTGGCCATGTCATCATGGGGTTCACCACCTCCATGGGGAGGTGCTTCAGCAAATCCCACTGACTAGCTGCAAATGCCAATGAATCAGAATCCTGCTTGGATATTCCTCTCCATATGGAGAGTATTTTGATCCTTAATTATCACTTAATTCACTGGGGTTAGCTGCTGGCAAGGAAACCTCAGCTGCAAAGTGCAGAGCACTGGAGAGCCTGGGAACCCCCTGCAAAGAGGCAGCTCCAATGGGTGTGAAGGCATGAGATGGACGGATGGCTCTGATGGCACAGAGATGCCAAACCACAGATCTGTGAGAAATCTGCTCACAGATGGGGAGGCTACCCCTGTATGAGCAGATGAGGCTTCACAGGGAGTTTTGCTCCTTGCAGAGTGCCCAGCTGGGAACTCACACAGGACAACTGCATGGCAGGCAGGCTCCAAGCTTCCCTTGCCTCCCTGGAAAGGTGCCCTTTGAAGCCACTTTGGGTAATGAGCCATTAATTGACCTCGACAGCAATCTCCTGAGCTCCCCGTGGAGCTCCCAGGACAGAAACGCTGTCTCCATTCAACCCATGGCCACAGCTGGCTCCCCAAAAAGCACCCGCAGCACCCAGGCTGTCAGCAGGAGCAGGGATGCGCTAATGAGGGATGCCTGTGGGGAGAAGGGCAAATCCAGCACACGTTTCTGCATGTCCCCCTGCCACTGAGCATCCCACACCTCCCTGCTGCCTCCCCGGAGCAGGTGAGTGCAGCTCTTCCCCAGGGAGAAGTAGCAACCAGCGCCTCAAATAGGTGGGGGTCAAATCCTTCTGCTCCCTGGTGCCTTTCAGCAAACAACTCAGCCAAACACCTCTCTACAAACTGATTTCCGTGCTTGAAAAGGCTGAAAACTTCAAAGCCCGGAGTGAAAAAATGGGGGGAAAAAAGTAGCCAATAATAATAATAAAGCAGAGGCTTTCCAGCCCAAGAAGCCTGCAGCACTTTGAGCATGACTAATATTTTCCACGTGAAATAATAATCTGCGGCACTAAATTTCTCATCCCTATGCACTTTGCAGACAACAGGTAGGCTCTGCCCAAATTCACCTCGGAGCAAGACCTTTTATAAAGCTTGTCTTGGGGAAAATAACTCCCAGCGTACCTGCAGATAAGGAGGGTCAGATGCCAGCCATGGAGCTGACAAAAGCCCCAAGTCCGCAGAGCAGGATGTAAGATCCTCCTTTGTTCAACAGCAGATCTCACAGCAAATCCTCCTGCATAATGGTCCTAGATCAGAGCAGTGCTGGAGCAGCCCTGGGCAGGATCCATTCACAGGCTCCAGGTCATTCCTTGACCTCACCCATGTGGGACAGTGGGCAAGACACGAAAACCTTTTCATTCACAGGGCTCTGACCCTGCAAAGCAGCACCTCCAAGCTCACACAGCCCCTGGGAGATGCTTCCAGGAGATGCCGAATGCACAGAGACTGATCCAAACTAAGAGAATGGAATAAATACATACAAACGCTCCTTTTAGTCTGGCAATAACTCACAGATGCCTCCAGCTTTCTTGCAAAAAGCTCAGCCTTCAAAGGGCCCAGAACTTTCCTGGGGAGATTTTCTCAGCAAGACATCACTGCAAAGCCTTAACACATGCCCACAAAAGCTGGGCATGAAGAGGTTAAATCCAAATAACACCACTTCTACAGGCCAGAGTCCAGTGAGTTATGCAGGACCATGCTCCTCACCAGCTATTCCAGCCCAAGCTCGCAGTAAATCAAATGCTGGTCACCGTGGTGGTGATGGGGTGTGCAGGGCATGACCACCATCTATAGACTCTGGTGGGTAATAACTCTGCTATGAGGAGCTGCCAGGATCATTCTGTGGGGCTGGGGAATGCGGGTCCCCAAGATCTCCCCCAGGAAACTGTCACTGGGATAGGGAGGTGACCCTGAGGGGATACGTGTTCCCCCCAGTGCTGGGCTCAGCACCCCGCTCATCCCACAGGGCCCTACCGCAGGGTCTTGCGGATCATGTCCTCGTCGGTGATGCCGTAGTAGGTGAGCGTCTCGTTCCAGGTGGGGTTCAGAGTGTTCCGCAGCGTTTTGGTTCTCAGCTTATTCGCCTGGAAAACAAAGGAGATGGAGTTCAGCAGGACCCAGCCCCAGGCAGTCGTTTGGGCATTGATGGGCAGTGAAGGGGGAGAAAAGGAAGCACTGTTTGGAGACGAAGGGGCAATTGATACTATCACCCTTCTGCCCCAGTGCTGTAACCTGGTCAGTCCTCAATGGGATGGCCCAAATCCACCCCACCCACAGCAATAACCAGAGACAAGGCAAAGTGCTCATTTGCAAAGCAATCCAACCCCACATCCCCCACTCTGGGAACAGGCAGCAAAATGGGAACCTTGGCAGAGAGCAGAGAGAGGATGGGGATTTCATTTATGCAGCAGGAGAGAGCAACAGAGAGAAAAAAAGGTCTTTTCAGGTTCATTAAAAAGTACCAATTTGCTGTTCTGGCTGTTTATTTGCATTCCTGCTCCCAGCACAGCTCTCATTCCTGCCTGCCTCAAAATAACTTCCTTTATACACATTTTTTATCACTGGCAACTCTTTCCAGAGCCACAGCTCTGCAGAAGTGAGGGACAGCAGGGCTGTCACAGCCACTTGTGTCCCTGGCATGGATGGGGCATCCTGGCACACACACACCCCCCAGGTCAGGGGATATTGATCTTCTCACTCCCTGAGCCACCCGCTTCTGTTGGGGACAGAAGCAAAGGGCTGCAGGCTTCAGATGAGGCTTCTCCATCAGCACCCCAGCCTGGGACAGACAGGCAGAGCAGAAGTTTTCCTTCTAATTACACGTAAAGTCAGAAAGTTCAATCCCTGCCTCAGCCACTGCTGGGCATAAGGAACTCTCAGGAAACTAATACTTCAAACTTGTCTTGTGTGGCTATGTGAAAAGCTGCTACATTCCCCATCTTTGGGTCACCATCCCTGAGTCAATCTGAGTGGGATGTGAAGCCCGGGCTGAAGAAAAGAGCTTGTGCAAGTCACCTTGTTAGCATGTCCTTTCCCCACCAAAAGCACCCCAAACACACAACCTCTTCCAGATTCACCAGACAGCCACTGGCTGAGGAGCTGCCAGTGCTGCGGAGCCATCGAGGGACCACAGCACAGTGTCTCACTCCCAAACTCACCATGCAAAGCAGCTGCTGGGTTTGATATCTCAGAGACAGAGAAAACCTCTGTATTTTGTGCTGTGCTTCATTTAGGTCTGCAAAGCCATTTCTGTCTTTTAAAGAAACCTGTGCCCTGTGCAGCACTGCTGAAGCTGGGTGAGGAGCTGTGAAACACTGAGCACTAGGTTAGGAGGAGGATACCCCTGGAGCAAGGCACGATGCTCCAGGAGCCGACTGGGATACAGGGGCAGGAGGGACTCAATTAGCAGCAGCATCTAAAGCCCTGCAACGTCAATTGCTTTTCACATCACTCAGGCAGGAGTCTGTTTGCAGCATGGAAAGAGAAGCTCCTGGGCATCAGCCTCACTGAGACAATCCCTGTGTGCCCAGAGGCATGTCCAGCACTGACAGCACAGCGATGCAGACCAAAGGAGACTGCAGACGGGTGCTCTCATTTATGACCTGCTGTTGCTATTGATTTAATACCTCATTTGCCTTAAAACTTCCCCAGCTTTGTAAAATTGCTCCAAACAAGCCACTATGTCATACCAGGTTTCATCCCATACCTATTTTTTCTCCTTCCTCAGTGATATTGTGGCCACCACACCAGGCTCCAGCCCAAGCAGCAAGATACGTATCAGAGAGAAGAGCCTGCTGAGGGGTGACAAGGACAGCAGAGGAAGCACCCTGATGGCACACACTGCCTGCTCAGACCCACTGGGGCCTGATCCTGGGGCTCTGTGGCTCAGGAAGGAAAGCAGCTTTAGCTAAGGGGGTAAACATGTTGGGTATCACCCAGCAGCCAATGCTGCTCTGAGCAATGAATGCAAACTAAATCAAAGCAACTGAGCTCTGGGATAGCCCTTTTCTCCCACCTGGAATGATTTACTCAGTAACCAGCTCACTTGGAGACCTCTGCATGAGGTGAACAAATCCAGCCCTGTTTCCCACATCTCTGGTTTCAGCTCTGCAACAGGTGCCCAAGAGCTCCAGTCTGGGACAGAAACACTCAATGAACTTGAAGACTGCCCTGCTCCTGCTGGAATGACTGTACAGAAACATCCAGGCCAGGACACAGTTACCCCAGATGTGCTCACCTCTCCCAGAGCAGATTTGGGCAGTGCTGTTTGGAAACAAGGTGCAGAGACAGGAATCATGGAGCCAGAGGGATGTGTAGGCAAGGAGAGATCCCCACGGCTGCTTGTAGAGTCTGTAGCTCTTTCACTACCCTCAGCACAGAGCTTTCCTCCCGCCTCCCTCATCTCCATCACCTCCAGCAGAAATGCTAATCAATGCATTTGCAAAACATGGAAATGACAGATAATATCGCTGACAGAAATGCTTCTGGCTCTCCTATTTCCAGCAGAACTCGAAATGTGGTTAAAAACTCCCGCTTACCGCCCTGAACATTATGAATTAATTCAACTGAACCGTAACAAGTAAATATACCTCCCCCCAAAAGGTCCTTCCTTTAGTGTAATAAGAGTGCAATTGATATTCATAACACATACATTTAGCATTTAAATTCAACATCCCATCAGTTACACCAAGCTCTCACGATATACATTAATATCTTTAATTACTCTTCTCTCCAGCAAGTGCTGAACCTAAGTAGATGGAAATATTTCCCTTATGATTTAAACTCTGGTTTATTATGATCTGAGGGGGTTTAGATGCAAAAGAAAAGGGGGGGGGGGGAGGGAAGAAAAGAGGTGTTTGTTTATAGCTCTGGATCATTTCACTTGGTGCTTCCCAGAGGCTTCTAGAGCACAGTGTTCACACCCCCTGCTCCCAAGGGCGAGGAGTTAGGGCTGGATTTAGCCCCAGTTCTTACCTCCTGCTGCTGCTCCCTCCTGGTTGCCTGAGTAAGAGCTGGGCAGGACACTGAGGTCAGCCAGTGAAGAGCTTCTCCCTGGGAAACCTCCCTGGTCTGACTCCAAAGGGAAAGGTGCAGCCCCAGGAAGAGAAGAAGTGAAAAGGCATCTCACCTTACTGGCTCCGGGGAGCAAGTGCAATTTGACATATGGATCCGCCAAACCATTATGGTCCATCGGCTTCAGGCCCTGGAGAGGAAACAGAAAATGCAGGAGTTAGGATGCTGGGCAGGTAGCGTGGCTTGGCTGACCCCATTTACTCATGCCCATTCCCCCGGGATGTTGTTGATCCACGGAGTAGTTGCAGAGTTTCCCCAGGAGTGGGGAAGGAGGAGAATATGGTTTGTGCAGCAAAAGCTGAGCACACTCAGCATTCCAATGCTGTCTGCGGTTTGTGCCGAGCTGTGGGAAGACTTCTCATCTGCACTTGGCATTGGTCGCAAAGCAGCACTCCTCTCTTCCAGCAGCTGACTCTGACATCCTGATCACAATTAATTTGGGGGTTAAGTAAATCAGCACAGTGATTCTCAAGGTTCAAAATTACAGGCTTTTGTCATTTAATAATTGCTTCTGAGCAAACACACACCTCTGCTGTTGTGGTGTTACTTCTAAGCGCTCCCAGAGGGTGTGATAGCACCTACCTACTCTTCCTTATTAAGGCACAGCTGAAGGAAGAACAGCTTTCGGGCCAGTGGGAGGTTGTCGCCAGTCGACTGCCATGGCATTGGCAGGAAAATCTGGGAGTGCTGGAGCACAAGCACAAGGAAACACTCACTCTGACCATCCCTGATGCATTTTCTGCAAGACCGTTATAGCTTTTAAAGGATAATGTGGATCATGCTTGTCACAGCGATGCTCTGGAGTTGATCCTGCTTCAGGCAGAGGGAGCAGACAAACCTGCTCCCCTTCTAAACAAAAAGCAGGCTGAAAACTATCCAAGAGTGATGCAGAAACCCAGCCCAAAGCCATAACTGCACAGACTGCATGGAAACAAACTCCACAGGGTAGGGAAGAAAAAGGATCATGAAAAATGGAGCCTAATTTTTACCAGTTTTAAGTGTAAATGATAATGGCTACATCATGAAAGTCCTTGGATTATTTCCATCTTGGCTACAGGATCCTTGTAGGAGTTATAGCTAGACTGTCTGAAGGCAATCTTCTGCCTGGATCAGAGGAGGGTTTCTCTGCAGAGATACCCATCCAACCCCAGCTCCAACCTGGGCATGGAAACCAGGCTGGGTGATGCTAAAGACTCGTCACACACTTGGTGTGATGAGCAGAGTATTCAGTGCATGGGATTAATGAGTGTGTGCAGCTGCCAGGAATCCACCTGGCAGGAAAGCATTTGTATGGGCTGCTGGTGGAAAGGCTGCGTGCAATGAAATGGTAATCATCAAGGCCTGGCTTTAGGCAAATTAAAGAGGGAAATGTTGGAGAAATCACTTCCATACTTCACACGTGTGAGATAAAACACCCCACTTAACCCAGGACACCAAGGCAGCCCCTCAGGATGCCCCATTCCACCCCTCCCTGATTTGCACAACACAGCTGAGGGTCTGAGCTGCTCCTGACCTTGGTGAGGGCTCTGCTTCAGACAAGCACACTGCCCTGGAGCAAGGGAGACCAAATGGTGCTGCCCAGCAAAGAGGATTTTGCTTCTAAAGCAGAGCCAAAAGGATAAAAATATCAGTAGCGAATGGAGGCTAAAAGGCTCTGCTTTAATTACAGTGCCTCTCAGGTGATGTCCCTGGCCAAGCAGAAGAGGAAGGCAGCAGATATGGAGGATGGGAGGAAGGTGGTGGTGTCTGCTGCAGATCCATAGGTAGACACTGGTCCCCAGGCTCCAGAGGGGATCTCTCTGGCTAGGCAAGGGCTCTCCCCAGCCTGAGGTGCCCTCCTGCCTGATGCTGTGCCATAAGTGAAACAGAAGCAAGCAAGAAAATTCCAATAAAAATGGATGGAGAAGGACAGGCAGTTCTGTACTTCACCCATCAATTCAGTTCAATTAAATTACCTTCTGAGGAGGCTATTAAAGGAGTTTTTTAATAGATGCGTGTCGTGGTTTAAACCCAGTCAGGCAACTTGTTCACTCACTCCCAGTGAGTGGTGCCGAGCTGACAACAATCGAGGTCTGTTACCCCCCCCCACCGGGGTTCTCCCCCACTCCCGGAGGAACGGGGAGGAGGATCAAAAGAGTGCAACTCCTACGGGTTGAGACAAGAACAGTCCAGCAACCAATGTACAACACAAATCACCACCGCTACTATCAACTACAACAATGATAAGGGAAAATAACAAGGGAAGAGAATACGATACCACCGGCCAAGAAAACGAGTCCCACCCGGAAGCCCGTGTCCTTCTGGGTAACTCCCAGTTACCCCCCACCCCAGGCATGACGTGCTGTGGTATGGAATACCTCCCTGGCTAGCCCCGGTCAGGCGCCCCATCCCTGCTTCCTCACGGCTTCCCCTCCTCCCTGGCAGAGCATGAGCCTCACAGAGTCCTTGGTCAGGGTAAACATCACTTAGCAACAACCAAAAACATCGGCTTCACCAACACTGTTCCCAGGCTGGAAGTCAAAACACAGCACTGCACCAGCTACCACAAAGGAAAAACATGACTGCTACTGCTGAACCCAGGACAATGCGCTATGGAAGATGGAGTGACAGGAGCCCGGCAAATGCATCTTAATGTCACATCTACCTCCCTCCTGTGTCACTCGATATGAGCTTGGCAGAGAGCTGAATTTAACACGAGAGCAGCCCCAAAGGCTCTGCCCCACAAAGCTGCTTCTGTGGGAGCTCACCTCTCCCAGGCACCCACAGATGGACCAGCACCATTGCTTCCCCTGCACGGAGCACTCTCCAGCCCAAAGCTGCTCCAAGAGGCAGAGGAGGACCAAAGAGCTCATGTATGAGGTAGAATCTCCCATTGGCTTCAGCCAGTGCAGCCCCAGCTCCAACCAGTCTTCCTGCCACAACCAATTTATGGTGCTTTGCACCATGGCACGGGTGATGGAGCTCAGACCAAGTTTCATTTTTACCCCTTCCTCTACCCAATCTCAAAACCCCTGCTGCAAACCTATGGAGACCAAGAGCCCTGCTGCATCCCAGCTGCTGCCAGCTGCTCTCCGTGCCAGTGACATTTAGCTAATCAATAGGATTTAATTACAAGTCAGGCTAATCGGGCTGCCGATTAACACCATGCTAGAGGCATACAGATATCACAGGAGACAGATTCGTTCCATCATTCACCCCATGATGAGCTGCCTGCAGGGTGAGCAGGCTCCCTGCCACCCAAAAACCAGCCAGGATACCTCTTCCCAGGCCAAGACATCCTGCTCTGAAATGGGGCGAAGTCTCTGCTTCCACTCTGACAGCCCAGAGGAAGCACACAGCTTTGAGATGGGAATTTCCCTGGAGTGATAAATATTTATGAGTAAATCCGTAAGTGCAAACCTCCAGCACTCGGTTTCAGTTGGAAGAGACGAGCATCCAAATGCTCGGCAGGATAGAAACTCCCGGGTGTTTTCTAGCTGCAGCTGCAGCCAGCAGTGCAGGGACAGGAGCCCAGGTACATGTTCACAGGGGCAGCATCTGCCCTGCATGGCCTGCCTGGGGCCAGGGAGCTGCCTGCACCGCTGCCTGCACAGACACCTGAGACTCGCCCAGGGCATCCTGCTCCCAAAAGCCGGAGACAAACAGAGCTACAGGATAGCACAGCCCCACAGTGGCTGCACTGCCGCAGACCTCTGTAGATCCTCACTATAGCAGGTTATTATCTCCCTCCATGCAACATGTTAGGCTTTGCAAAGCTCAGCAGAAAATGAGCCCCTCATCAAAGCCAGGGCAGTGATAAGTTAATGGTGTCATTTTCCATCAGATTTTACAGGAGGGGGTGATGCCCATTGCAGCTCCCACATATGACAGTACGGATCAACAGAGCACAGGGTGCTCCTGCACGGCAGCAAGGGGAGAGCCCTCCTGCCAGCCTGCCACACGGTTGCTCCCGCAGCCACAAACAGGCTCCCACACTGCCCTGATTTATTCTCCCATCGATCTGAGCTGAGCTGCAACGTGCCTTAATTCAGCCGTGCCTGAAGCGTGAAAGGCAGGGTACAGGCAGGGCTGCTGCCAAGACCCAAAGACATTAGTGCAAGGTGGCTGTTGGCAGCCTGCCTGCTCCTGCCTGCACGGGTCCTGAGCTTTCTGCTGACCAGGGAGAGGCAGCAGGAACGTTGGGAACAGCACCACAGCCCTGCTCCAGCCTGGGAAGTGAGGGGGGTTCTTGGTCTTTACCTCTCCACTGCTGTGGTAACCCAAGACAGCATCTGCTTTGTTCCCACAGCGCAGCACCAGCGAGCCCTGATGCTGCTGCAGTGGCTCAGAGATCACACCATTGCGGCAGAGTAACAACTTGGTGCCATTGCAGGCAGCACAGGGAGAGGTGCAGCATCTGCCCCACCTGCTGAGACCATACCTCGATTGTACCTGCTAAAGGCAATGCCAAAGCGAAGGACTGTCCCAAGAGGTTAAGGCTGGAGATGGATGCTGTTTGAGCATTCCTCATCCTGCAGAGGCAGAACTCGCCTTGCAATCCCGCACTCAATCCATTCATCTCCAGGAGGAAACAAGATCCTCACTTTCCAGGCTAGAGCCTGCAGAGGTGCCCAGCACTGCTTTCCAAAATCACCTTCCAGATTGGAAGTTCAAAGTGCTTGATGGCAGGGCACCTCTCTGTGCTATTAGGGAAACTGAGGCACCAAGCACCTTAATCCTGGTGTAATCACACAGCCTGGGATAGCCCCAAGGCTGCCAGCTTCCACACCCATACTTCCTGCAGTGAAGCAAACCTTTTGTTCCCTATTCCATCCAAACGTGGGGGTCTGGGAACAAGAAACAGCTCAGATGTCCCCAAGCATTGGGCACCAGGGCAAAACCCTGGTCAAGCTGAGTGGCCATCCCGACCTCCTGCACAATACACTACAGCAGCTGACGGCTGCAGAGCAGAGAACTGGTGGTGGAGCACAACAGGTTAGATTTAACCTGCCAATGGTGTCTCCAAGAGCCTGCTAACCCCTTCCCACTCCTCAGGAGCTGATAACAGGACTCAGGAGGGGCATCAACATATATAGAGTGCTGGAGGTGAAAAAAAATAGAAGTAAAATGATCTAAAGGGAGGAAAAGGGTTGTCTTGGGGGGGTTATCAAAGGGAGAAAGAAAAACATTTCTCTCATGGCTGAAGTAGTCCAGGTTTTAATGGCTGCTAGCAGTGACTGAAGCTTCAGGAGCTGCTGAAGCTGGGACACATTCTGAGGGCCTGAGACATGCACACAAAACCCCAGCCAGACTAGCCTCAGCCCAGGTCCGAGGGCAGTGCACATCCCGGCACTGTGCTGCGGCTTGTGCACATGGCCCCTGGCGTCCCTGGTCACCACATCACCTTCTCTACACCACTACTTCTAACAGCTACACCGATGGCAGCCAGGGTCCTGGCCCTTACCTTTCTGTAGTCAAGTTTTGGCAGCTTTCCCCAGGCGAGAGATGAAATGAGAGCGAGCAGATGGCAATGTAAATAAAAGAGAAAAATGGGAGAATGAGAGCAGAATGGAAATGAACAGGACTCGAACGCTTGAATGTCAGGGCAGCGGGGGGGGGGGGGTCTGCCCACCCTATGAGTAGGGGCGATGCCAGTGCCATGTGGTGCTCCCAGCCCCATGGGATGGGGTCAGCAATTGCTATTCTGTTCCGCCAGCCCTGCATTTGCTCTCGCTGATGTTAGATCTATCACTTGCCGCTCGCAGGTCTCCTTCCTCTCCATCTTCCACCCACTGCAAACCCAATTAGAAATCTCCTCCTTGGCACCGCTCCTGAGTGCGCCAAGGGAAGCCGTACCCAGCGGCTGCCGGTGGATTCATAAGCGACAGGCAGGGGAGGAAGCAAAACTGCCTCTGCCCTGCACAGGGAGCTGTGGGTGCTGTGCTTACCCCCCAGCCCGGAGCAGCTCCAGGCCTGCCTGGGTAGATGCCTCCAACCTCATCCCCAAAGCCAAGCTTTTGTGCTTGTGGTCTTATTCCAGATGGGAAGAACCATGGGGCAGGAATGTGCATCCTCAGCATCCAGCTTAGCGCTCAGCACAGTGGGCTCTGGTGTGAGGGCTGCAAATAAGCCAGTTGCAGCTGGAAGGGAGAGGAGCATCCTATGAAGGCAAACAACATGGTCTCAACCTCCAGAGGCTCAGCTTACAGCCTGATACCCTGCAGTTTCTTCTGTCTTCTGCAAAAACCCGCTACCCTATCCCAAGATGTACAGGGACTTGGGTCTTCTTCCACCAACCCATCTTTTGGGGTCCAGCCATGTTGACCTGGAGCCCTTGCTGCTCTGGTCGTCCTGCATGGAGAAGCAACGAGGAACCAAGCAGCACCCAGAAGCACCTTTCATGGGACCAAAGGGACCTCAGTTATCTATTTCTGCTTCAAAATGTGCAAAAGAAACCCTAATTGCCTCAATCACACAGACAGCAAAGGAACTGAGGCAGAGCACTTTGTGGCAATGATTAGCAGCATTTAAAAGAGCCATTTATAAACTGACAGCCGGTCACAGCGTCAAGTAAATAACAACATCGGGTTGGGTGCTTTTCTAAAAGCATCAATAGCTGCAACCATCTCACCACGGGGATGAGCAGCCGTCTCCATCCTGCTGGAAACACTCTGGAAAGCAGGGATGGAGGGGAAGGAGAAGGCAGAAGCACTGGGAGTCAGGATGAAAATGAAGTTGGCAAAGGGAAAGTTGTAGTGGGGGACATCAACAGTCCCTGGTGGCCTCAGAGGACAAAGGTGGCCAGCTCTGGGCACACTTAGTCCTTGCTGTTCACGCACCCAGTGCTAAGACATACCTTGGCTTTATTGATCGTGCAGTGGAGAGCGTTGTTTTCCTGATCATAGAGCAAGCTGAAATCCAGCGTCCCCAGAGTGGCTGCAAAGGATAAAAGATGTTATTAACCTGCAGCCCAGCAAACACTGGCTTTTCTCCCTCTAAGCACAAAAGGAATGGACAAAGACGCTAGAGAAATGGCTGCAGACATTATAAAACATAAAACATCCTCCTGTAAGCCTGTTATGAAACACGGCTTCATGCTGGGAGGTTGGTGGGGCTGTTACAGCCCTGGAGAGTAGAAAGAGGGATGAATGACTGCAGCTTACCCCAGCACTGTAGTCAGTGCAGAGGCTTTGCCTCCATGGGCTTTCACACAGGTCACCCCCATCTATCAGCAGGCCCACTGCAGCCAGCAGCTTCCATCCCCCAGGAACTGAAGGGTTTTGTCTGGGAGGATCCAGGCACAGACCCACTGTCAGCACATCTACCCCCTCCAGCACTGTGGGCATTCCAGAATGCATATTTGTATACTGAGACCTTCAAGCAAATGAGCCACCAATGGGATCCCTTCCCAGCTCCAATTTGGCTGCAATCTGTAAATTAAACCCAGTGAGAATGAAAATACTTTTATGGTTAAAATAAAAAACACCTGCAGCTTTTAATCAGAGCAGCACTCCTTTATGGCACATGCAACCCTGGAATAGCAGTGATGGGGCAGCTCCTGGGACGGGACCACAGGGAAGGGGCAGGAGATCAGAACAAACCAGAAGAGCTTCAGCAGCAGAAGTGTATTTGATTTGAGAAGGTCTTTCCCTTTGGATGATCTGAGCAAGTCACGCTAATCCAGAGCGGAGGAAAAGTCTTAAAAAGATGTTTTCCAAAACCAGGATTTAACCTTCTCCATGGCTTCTGCACCTGATTTGCACACCAAAGCCCAGACAAGGAGCGGCATCTCCCAACACAACTTCACCTGCCACCAGCCTTGAACTTCCACAGCAGTTCAAGACCTGACAACCCACACTTTTCCATGCCTACCTTTCCAAAAGGGGTCTGCTGGAGTGCTGCCCTGCCGCCATGCAGCATCCCACCACTGTTTCCAAGGAAACTGCACCTTCGTGCAGCACACAGGTTCAGAGCAGGGGGGAAAGAATCCAAAACAAAAACCAGAACAATTTTGTTTAATATCAAAGCAGGGTTTGCTGCCTGGGAGGCAAATTTGACAAACTTTATGGCACGAAATAATAAGTGTCAATAGTCTCTGCAACCAGGCACCCTGGGAGGTGGCAGGTATTCAGGGGACTGAAACCTTCCTGCTGCAATTTCACAGTGATCTTCCGGCCCAAACCCAAGCAAGCTACAGGTTTGCCTGCTAGCAAATAAAAATCATTGCTCTGGAGCAAACATCTTGCCTTCAAAGCAAAGCAAATATTCAGAGCTATTTCAGAGCCAGAATAATGTACCCCCCCTTGTCCTGGACTAATTTCATGGCACATTAGCTACTGGTTTAGGTAAGTTATAAATCAGTGGGGTTTACCTGATGGGGCTCAGGGAAGATGAAGTGATATGGGATGAGGCAACACCTTGTGCATCACCTCTGGTTTTGGCCGATTGGGCATTTCCAAATGTCCAAAGTTGCTCTGCATCATGCAGGGAGGAAGAAAGAGCACAGCAGTGCCCAGTGTGCTGGTGGCTAGATGCCTCTGCCTGGCGACGGGGAGCTCACAGCCACATACAGCAGCATCACAGCACCAACCGGGGGGGCTGGCACAGCCCACTGTGGTGGGGTGGGTGTAGTGGGAAGCTGCACAGCACACGGGTGACAAGCAAGTCAGCAAAACTCCACTAGTCTGTGTTTTCACTGGAGAGCGGAAAATGAAGCCTCCGGTTTCGGAGCCTCATCATTTCCACCTGCCCTTTAATCAGCCGCTTCCTGCCCGCTCCACCGCTTGGCCCTCCCAAGTTCAAGCTGTTATTTTATTTTTATCACAGAAGGAGGCCCGTGGCTTATCCTGCTGGATTGGGCAATTTATAAAACAAAAGCTTGGAGTGAAAACAGCCTTCAGCCAGGAAATAATGACAAAGCCTCCTGTCCCCTCAGTGCCACAACCTTTGCCTAGGGTGAGGGCAGCAGGGAGCCCTGTGCCAGCAAGACAGGCATCACCTAAGAGCACAGCAATGTGTTTTGTAAATGGGAACTCAGGTCCTGCTGCCCAGCACCGGAGGTCCATGAGCAAACCTTGAGCAGTTCCCTTTCACCCCAGAGCTGCCAGCAGATGGGAGGGCATGGACAGGGGTGAATGCCTTTCCCCAGCCCTGCTGTATTCTGTTCCCAGCTCTCTTCTAGCCCTGGAAGGGTTTTCCTCTATACAGGGGTATTTTTTCATTGACAGTGAGTCTTGATTCCCAAGGAAGGATCTGCCTTCGGCAGAGGGATGTTAAAACATTAGCAGCACATGTTGTGCTAATTGTTTAAAGTGCAGCCGTATGGAGATGACAAAAGGGATCAGGCTAACTCCAGCTGAATCCAGGGGTGGGAGCCCTGCATCCCACAGCAGCTCTGTGTGAACCCCTAACGGGACCACAGCCAGCCCTGTGCTCCCAGAGCGGGGAACACACCAAGTGAGTGGCCGGGCAAGCCAACACCAAACACCAGCATGGGTCTCACGACCCTCACTCCTCCTGCAGACCTGCTGTCTCCAGACACCAGGACTGGGACCGAAGCTGGCCCCAAGCAAAGCCCTCTGCAAAGTGGCTGAATCACCCTTCTTTGATTGATTTCCCCTTCCCACCCATCCTCACAGCTGAGATGCATCTTGATTGTGGTTTTAATTAAGGGAGTAAGTGCCTAAAAAAGCAAAGGGCAGCAATTAGACTCCAAGCACTGTTACTAGACATATTTAACTCGACTGGGCTATTCTGAACACTGCCCTCTAATCACACAGGCTGCAAATAAAAAAGTATAAATAAATGTTTTTGTCAGGCATTACAAAGGCAGCTTTACGCTCTCCAGACAGCAGGCAGGATGTATCATTATTATTACAATTATTCTGCTCCAATGATAAAATAACCATTAGAAGAGCTGAACTCATTAGCAGGTTCTGACCTTCTTTCTTCTTCATGAATTGGGAGAGATTGATGGGAAGGTGCCGGCCAGGGTCTGGCATTTAACACACGTTCTAAAAAGGAAAATAAATCTGACTTGCACAGGAATGCGGCCCCTTCTCCCCCTCACCTTTGGGCATTCTGATTAATTCAGTGGGCCACAAAATTATCAGACGGCAGCATAATGGAGAGATGCATCTCCGGGCTTAGCCACAGGATACAGCGAGCGCCTGGAGCCCGTGGGCATCGCTGCATCCCAGCACAGCTCCGCTGCACCCGTGGTGGTGGAGTCGGCAGAAGTTGTCTATTGCTGACATTTCCCATCAGGGCCCAGGGAGACGGGGAGGCTGAAGTAGCTTCTATTTCTACCTGAGGGATGAAAGGCAAAGTACCGCGGTAACTCTTCTCTGCTTCCTTATCCAGCCCCTGTCTTTCGGGCTACGTACACTTGCCTGGGCTGCACAGTGCAGCAGATCTACCCCTTGGTGACCAGGGACACCCCAAGAAGAAGAGTTTCTCAGCCCAAGAAATGGCCAAGATGTAAAAGAGGCATCGATGCATGCAGAACAGACCCACAAGTTTCAGCAAAGCCCACAGAGGAAGGAAGTAAATGGGCTCCTTACCTTCCAAAGTCAAGGAAGCTTTCACAGCACTACTGCCATTAGAAAGCCCAGCAAGGCTCTACACTAGAAGAAATTGAGGTTTGCACAGAAAAAAATATCACTATAGAACTAATTAAAAGGAAGTCCAAGGGCCTTAAGTCCTCTTGCTTATCAGCGTTGCTGCTCCCAAGATAACCTGCTCATGGATTTTGTGCCAGGGAGATCAGAGTGGAGGAGTAAAAAGACTGCTGGGGATTGTCTGGATTAGCTCTTTCTTACAGAAAGCACAGGTTCAGTAACCTTCAGACTGGGTATTTTTTAATGCACTATAAAAGACAGGTCCCTATTCTTCCATTGCTTTAATTTTCCTCTGCAATGGAGATAATTTTAAAGGTCCTGAAAGGCAGCAAGTAATTCTGCGCACTTACAGCCCCATGTAAAACGTTGGTAAATGACTCCTCAGGAAGAACAGAAATTATTTCTTGCCATTTCCAAGCAGGGCTACAGAAGATCACTCTGGCAGGCAGCTGTGTGTACTCCTGCTTCCCTGGATGTGCATCAGTGCCTCAACCAGGTCCAGTGGCACACATGGGGCAGCTCCAGGACCAATTCTCTGGGCCAACACAGGGACCAGATCCAGCACACAGGCAGGAATCCCTCCTTCCTCCAGAGCTCCACAGATGTGGTTGAATTCAACAGGACCAGGAGTGAGGAACAAACACAACTTTTCTTTCTTGCAACTGCTCCCTGCCTCATCGTGGGTTTTTAATTTAAAATCTATGGCAATTAATATTGCCTCATTTTGGAGACACAGCGCCAGCCCCTGGCAAGCTCCAGAGCATGGAGCTGCTTCTTTGTGATGCTGGTTGATGGATGCTCATCAGCTCTTCTGTTTTCTCCAGGAGGAGTGTTCAGAGGAACACTTATCTGTTCAGAACAGTTCAGAGACATAATTATGTTTTACAGCACTAAATGGTCCCTGATGTCAGCAGCAATTAGACTTTCGGCAATTTCAATTTAGAGATGGCCTTCAAATTTCTCCCTCTCTCTTCCTTTAATGAAAGACAACATTGCAATTAACAACCCCCCAAAATTGCCTTCAGTGTTAAATACAAAGATAAAAGATCTGGGAACCCCCTGGGCTCAAGTACATTGGAGCAAGGGGTGTCAGTGAAGGAAAGAGGGTGGCAGAGTCACCCTGGGACAGAAAGCTTCCCTGCTGGACACTGGGACCAGGAGAAGGGGAAGGGCTGGGCAGGCTGCTGGGGAGGGAGGAAGCCAGGGAGAAGGGAGACCCCTCATTAACCAGCAGCTGCATGGCTCCTTCATTAACAGAGACGCTGGAGGCCACAGCCCATATGCTCCCTCATCTCTGCTGGAGAAGGGATGCCCAGACAGACCCTGCCCATCCTCATGTGCTGGTCTTGCTGGGTGCCCTACATTTATCTCTAGCACTTTAGGGTGTCTCTGTCCATGGACACCCCCTGGGAATGAGCATCTCCAGGGGCTGAAGGATCTCTGGAGGACCAAGAGCACCCAATGTGCAACCTTCACCTAGACTGCTGATGGGGCAGCCAGCAGGAAAAGGTGAGACCTCACCAAATGCCAGCACCTTCCTGATACCGAGGTATCCTCCTGGAAACCAGACAGGAGCTAATCCAAAGCCACCCTGGTTAATTAACACCCTGTGTCACCCTTGGAAGGGCTACAAGCTCCCTGATACCCTTCACTCTCAGGTCTGACTGAGCCCAGGTCTGACACTGCCCAGTACCTACACACATTTCTTTGGCGTCAGCAGCTCGGGTTGTGATAGGGTTGGCAAACCCATGCTCCAGGCTCTGCCGAAATCAGCAGTGGTTTGTTTTGTTTCCTGTGTAAAAAAAAAAAAATACTTCTTTTGGCCTTATCTGGATTGAAAAGACGATTCAAAGGTTATAAATAGCAGTGGCAGCATATGCTAAAGAGCTGTGCTTCAGAAGTAAATATCCTCATCATTTCAGTGCACATTTCCCCTCGTCATCTCTTCTTGCCTCCTCCTGTCTGACCAAAAGCATTGCCAGGTGACTTGCAAACCCTGCATCCCTTAAGACTTTCATTCTTCTTTACGTCTTTAAACAGCCAGTAATTAATATCTGCATGACAGCTTTGCCTGCCTAATTATCTTCTTTGCTCAGAATGAGAGTCTTCCTAAATAACTTCTGTGTCGTTGCTTGCAGCAGGCGTCACGAGCAGCCATGCACCAGGACAGGCCTCTCAGCTGTAGTGTGAAGTTGTTTTTATGCTGCTGCAGCTCAGGAGATCACAAGCCTGCTCCACCCATGAATAAAGCTGGACATGCTATAGAACTGGCTGGGTTTGTACACATATGAATAGCCTCGGAGCACTGGCAGGAACAGTATGGAGTAACTCTTCCATAAACACCAGCTCCCGCTGCATCCCCTTGCTCTCAGGCTGCCTCCCCATCTGAAAAACCAGAGCCAAACATACACAGAGGAGGAAGGAAATTGCCCAGCACAGTCCACGGCCTTGCTCCAAAGCCAAACAGCAGCTCAGGGAAATGAAGCGTTTCTTCAAGGGCTAGAAACTTGCCTGCGCATTAGAGAAGGGTGGGAGCTGCCTCCAGTGCTGTCCTCGGGCAAAGAGAAGCTGCAGCAGTGCTCCCTCAGTGTCCACGTTTCTACCTCTGCGCTGCTTGTGCAGAGGTTTCTGAGACCCTTAAAAATCCATCAGGTACAAATTCACCTTGGTGCTGTGGAGGGGAAAGCACAGGCACTGGAAGGGCAGGGATTTCGATTGGAATCAGGGGAGATGGGAGGCAAGACCCAGCTCCTCGCAGGTGGCACATTGCCACCTAGCTGGCGTTTGCTTATTTTCCTTGCGAACCAAGTTCCCCCGGCAGCATGCCGCCTGGCTGGGTGGGAAGCATCCCTGGCGGCTGCGGACCCCAGGGGACACAGCACTGCTGCTGTCAGCAGGCACCAGCCAGGGGAACCAGAGATGAGGTGACAGCCGAGTGTCCCAAGATAGGAGGAGCGAATCCCCTTCCCCTTCCTTCCCAGCCCCAAATCCCTGTGGGTCCTCCACTCACAGCAGATGCTAGCACTGGTCCAACAGCACAAAACCACCCTTCTGCAGGGTTTGCACCACACGTTTCCCCACCTCTCCTGCCTTCTTCCACCTCCTCAGCAGTTTCATTAGGGACAAACCTGCTGCGGGAAGAGACCTGCTCTGTACAGCTTGGGCTCCAGTCCTGGAGCATCCCTGCAGACAGAGGATAGAGAAGGCATAGAGCAGTGATGAGTTCTTCTTCCAAGAGCCTTGGGATGGCAAAGCGTGCCAGCCATGACCCTGCAAATCCTCACAGCAGCGCTGCTGGCAGGTCTGACGGGAAGGGCTGGCTCCACGCAATTCCCAGTGCTCCCAGAGCCAGCCCCAACATCTCTGCTCATTATCTGCTCTGTTAGCTCCCTGGCCCTGCCTGCTCCCTGCCACTCGCTGCATTCAACAGGCTGGTTATGGCTGCCCCACCGGGACCACGCTTGTTTTCCTTGGCACTTCTACAGCTCCCCTGAGCGCTGAGCTCCCTGGCTCCACAGGGCTGCAATTGTGGTGCCCTGAAACACTGGCCTCAGCCCTGTATGTCTCAGAGCCATCAACCTGAGCCTCTGCAAATGTGTCCCAGTGAATGGTGCCTAAATGACCTGCACAGCTCCCTGCAGCCCTTCCAGGGAGGCAGGGTATCAGGCAAAGAGGCTGGCAGCTGCCATCCAGCCCCTGCCCAATGCCACCCTGCAGTGCTGCAGTGACTGAGCAGCACAGTCCCATCACCCATCAGGCTGGTGCTGCTGGAAACCCAGAAACATCAAACTGGAATGAGCATAGGGGAAACCCAGGCAAATGCTGCATTTCTCCAGGCAGGGGCAGCTCTTGTCCTCCCTCCCAGCCAGCCAGCACCATCACAATGGTGTTGGAGGAGAGAAACCTACAGGCAGGTGGCACAAACGGGAAGGAGCCATCCTCTACTCCTCCCAATGGATCCTGACACAGGAAAATCCCTCTCCCTGCACCTCTGTGAGGCTGTGCTGGGAGCATCTCTGGGGAATGAGGTAAGATGAGACCTTGCCCAGCAAGACCTTGACTTGTGGGTGCTGCACCCAGGCTCCAACATCACCATCCCTGTGTGTCACCTGAGGGAACTGTCACAACCTAAATCCCAACCTGTCTGCTGTACAGGCGGAGACAGGCTCCCCAGGGGGAGTTTAGTGCAGGTGACTAATACAGCAGCCCTGAATCACCCACCACGGGATGTGGGGGAGCTAAAAGCCACTCCATAGCGTAGCGGATGGCTCAAGCCAGGCCACTCAAATCCCCTCCCAGCTCCTTGCCTGGAAAATGGGGCCAGCGAGCCCTCGCCTGGCTTTGCCACTTGGCCACTGAACATGGAGGAGTGACAGTCTCATCCTGCCCGTTTATGCCAGCCAGTGCCCTGAGAGCAGCTGAGGCCATCCCATGCTGTCCCCAGAGCTGTGACACCAGCAGTCCCACCTCCCCGCTCTGGCACTGGTGTGCTTTCACCCGCCACATCTGGCAAAGCAGACCCAGCAGTTTGCCTGACACCTGTTACGCTGTAAGAAACACTCTTCCTAATAGCAGCTGGGGCGAGACAAACACCTGCCGGCCCCAGCACTGAGTCAAGCTGCTTCCAGCAGCGCTGCCAGGGCTAAATCCAGAATGCAGTGCCCTGGGCAATTTCCATACAAGTGCTCAGTGAAAGCGCTGCACCCCATGGCCCCAAGTGCTTCATCTCCCACACACACCTCTGCTCAAGAAGCCCAGTTGCTCTCATTTCTATTGCTGGGGTGAGCAAAGACGATCTAATGATGAGAGCAGAAAATAACCCAAATCCGGTTAAAGTCACTGTTAACTGCCTGGCTGGGACAAACGCGGCTTAGCAGAGATGTTCTCCCTGGGAGCACAGCGGTTCTCAGCTCCTGCATAGAGAGCATGACCCTGGGATGGGGAGAGAGGGAGCATTGGTCTGGCTTGTACCCAGAGCCCCAGCCTCTCCCAGAGCTGGTGGTGAGCAGGCAGAGGGGAGCACAGGGGTGGCTGTGCCACCCTGCAGCAAGCACAGCTCTTGGGGAGCCCTCTCACACTCCAGGATCTGGCATAGATGGCAGCAGCCCAGGCCAGCCCGGCAGAGAGGGAGTGATGCCGGGGCAGGGCTGTGACATTTTGCATAGGAAAAGCCCGACGTTGGGCTGTAAACAGCTCAGCGTTGTGGGAGCTCAGCCTCCCCTTCCCCCAGGACGAGCATGCAGCACTGTTCAGCAGCACTGACTCCCTTCCTCAGCATCCCACAGCTTCAAACTTCATGCTCAGTCCCTCGCAGGATCTGGCCCCTAAAGGCTGGGCTGAATGGAGACCTTGAGTTTTAACCCACCTCAAGGAAAGCAATGCTATCCCAAATCACCGTGGCTGGCCGAGTCTGACACAGCTGCTTTGCAGCCTGCAAGGTCCAGCAAGCTGAGTGGGAAGGATGTTTTGTGTGGGAAGGGGTTAAACCTCACTGCAAACACCTGCATCTACCAGAAGCAAAGCCTTCTGTTCAAAAGCCCACCCCCCCCCCCCCCCCCCCCCAACCTCACAGAGGGTTCTGTCTGCAGCTGGAAGGTGAGGAATGGCACACCGGAGTTTGCTGAGGGAGAGGGCAGAGATTTCCCAGGCAGATATCATTCCCAATGAATCTCTCCGATCTGGAGCCGGGTGATGCTGGAGTGTATCACCAGCTAATCAGCAGCGTGGCTAGAGCAGGCTGCACCACCGAGACAGATTAACCGAAGGGTTTGAACCCAGCTGGCAGCCTTTGGAGGCAAGCAGCTGAGGAGGGATGAGGTTTCCACCACAAGAGCAAAGCACAGCAACTGGTGGCTCTTGGGAGACTTCCCTAGTTTGGGTTCAGCGGCCAGCCTAGCTGCAGCAGGGACACTCCCAGGGCCTCCCTCCACCCAGGGCAGCACCGAAGCAGCGCGGTGACAGCCTCCCTGGCTAGAGCAGAGCTTGTCACTGCTGCAATGTAATCCCAGGGACAGACAGTGTGGCCAGCAGCCGGGCAGGGTGCAAGGCTCAGGCAGTAACATGGGGGACCAGTCCCTAAGACCCACCCTTCCCCTCAGCACCCAGCAAACTCCTATGGAAACTTGGAAACTCACTGCAGTCATCGGACTCGTAGCCCTCGGGGTCCACCACCTCCTCGGGTGCCTGGCACTTGGCTGGCTGCTCCGTGGGTGTTGTGCCATATGCCCCGAAAAGCTGGTCCACGTCCTCATCCTCTTCGCGGGGCGCCTCGGCGGGGCTGACAGAGGGCTGGCTGACAGCGGAGCGCAGGGTGCTGCTGCGGCCAACACCAGCGGGGAGCCCGCGTGGGAAACGGGGGAAGTAGTCGGAGATCTGCTTGATGGGTTTGATGGGGCCGGGGCAGACGTCAATAGCCATGTGCTCCTGGATACTTATGGTCATTTTCTCTCCTTTTCGGAGTGTCATGCATGCGGCTGTCGCTGCCAAGCCTCGCCGGAGAAGCCCGGACCGTGCGTGAGGGAGCCGTGAAGTTTGTGCTGAAGGAAGCAGAGGCAGGTGAAGGGGGAGGCTCCGGCGGGCACCTTACGTGGTTCTCGCGCCCTGAGCCTCAGACGCCGCACGCATGCTGCTGCTGCTGCCGCCAGCTCCAGCTCTCACACAGCCCCTGATCCTGCCAGCGCTGCCTGTGAATAAATGAGCGAGACGGAGAGACGGATAAGAGGCAGGGGGTGGGCTCTCGGGTGATGTCACCAGCTAGCAACAAAGCGGTACCCAGCAGCGGAGGAATGAGGGCTGTGGCCGGCCCGCACGGCCGCCAGCGAGGGCGGCCAGCCCCCTGCCTCTTCCCCAGCAAAGCCCCGCTGTGCCCGAGGGGAGCAAAGCAGAAGCTGGGTCGAAGCACACCTCCCTTCACCCCATCTCCCTGCCTCAGCAGGGTGAGTCCCCACCAGACCTCTCCGGAGAAGGGAAGGTCATCACGCAGGGTCAGGAGCCGCTGTCCTGTTGCGTTGCGTTCCCTGGAGCTGGAAGCAGGGCTGTCCCAGCCCCTGGAGACATCCCAGCTCACAGCACGGGCGAGCCAGAGAGATGCTCTGTGCATACTGAGCAGGGGCGCGGGTGGCACGCTGCCCACTCACGGCTCCAGCCACACTGCTGCTCAAAGGGGTCGCCCTGATTCAGTGCCCTGTTGCTGCAGCAGGCTCCAGTCCACACAGCAGTGCCCCCTCCAGTGCTCAGCACCAGCTAGGCAGGCTGGGTGAGCCACCCACAGCCTCTGGGGCCGGGAACGCACAAGGGACTGAAGCAACACATGGCACTTGCTCACAGCACAGCCTCTCCCAGCCAGTTTGTGGCTGCCGGCATAGAGCAATGCAGCAGGTAGATCATCACAGAGGAGAGAGCAATGAGTAGGGCGAGGTCTCACAGCCAGTGTGGCCACGCTCAGCACTTCTCTGGCAACCTTTCCGGGCAGGGACAGAGCCCCATCACCAGCCAGGAAGGTCACAGGCTCCCTGCAGCCTGCCACAGGCTCCTGGGAAAATGCCGAGTTGTGGCTTGCTCAGGGAGTTGGTCACAAACTGGTGTTTTTACCTAATCTCCTCCTGGGTTCACATCAATAAATCTCAGGTTCCAAAAGCTACTGGAGGTGGACTTTTAAGCAAGGAGTGCCAGAAGCGAAAGGCTGTGAGAACATGGAGCAAAATGCTGCATGGAAACTCACCTTGCCCAGGAAAACGTATCTGAAGTATTTTGTAGGGACAACTCCCCCACTACAAACTTTCTGCTGACTCAGGTGTGGTGGGTCTGGCATGAAGCTGGGACACCCACCACCACGTAACGCTGATGACAGTCCGTACCACCAGGTACCCTGACAACACAACAGATGCCATATATCAGTGCACACAGAACTGCAGTCTCCTGCAGGCAGGCATGCAGATGTCTATTAAAAATAAAGCTCTGTTCTTTGGAGAATTTTCCCCCAAACCCAGCAAAATCACACCCAACCTTTTTGTCAAATTAAGAACTCAGTTTTCACTCAGGTTTTGGTAAATGTTAATGAACGTCCCTGACTCATAACATACTGACACTAGGCAAACCACCCTAATTTACTTCTCACCAGGAAGCAAACATTTCCCTCCTGAAGCATCCAAACTTGTCATCTCTCTGTACCTAGGACATGATGCACACAGATGCTCTAATGATCTGCGAGAATGGTGACCTCTCAGCTGCTCCTTCCTCTCTCGGCCATACATTCACCTCCAGGCAGCTCCCACCTCTTCTGTAGAGGTGATGTGTGCTGCCCTGCCAGGAGACAAACTGCTCTCCTGCAACAAGGTCCATCAGCAAATCCAGTTTAACCCCCTTCCCACATCCAAGGACTCTGAGTATATTAATTCAGACGGAAATGCCACCTGCTTCACATTCACGTGGCCGAGGCTGAAAATCCTGCGGGTGGCAAGATGATGGGTAGGAACAACACGGGAGGCACAAAATGCTGCCTCCAGGTTTGGAGCAGCCTGAATGTGCTCATCCACACAGGCTCCATCTTTGGGTGCAGCATCCAGGATGCAGTGTGGACGCAGACAGAACGAACAAAAATTGGGCCCAATGCCCAGAAAATAGCAGCAATTCCCTCTAAGAAAGGGCAAACAAATAAATAAATAAGATTAAGTTATATATGACAGCCTAATATTATTATCATCATTACAAAAGCATCATTATTTTAAATGTTTCCCCATAGAACATGAGACCCAAATAGACAAGGATTGTTACACAGGTCAGGAAGTCAAGGTTCTGGGGGCTAAGGTGAGCCCCCTGAGCTCTGCCTGCTCCTGTATCATGCAGCACCCCAAAAGCTGCCCTGCAGTGCTGACAGTCCATAGCCAAGGCCCAGAAGCAATGATGGGAGATGCTCACCTCACTCAGGGATGCAGAGAACAACCAGAGACACAAAGGGCAAGGTGCAAATGAAGACCAGATTAAGGGAAAAGCAAAGACAGAGCTGAAGCAGGCAAACCTCCCTGCTGCCATGGCAGGACTGGCCCCCAAAGGAGGCTGCGTCCCCAGACTTTACAGACTGAAAGAAACAAAACCAAGACTTGCTGCTAATAGTCCAGATGGGACTTTCTAGTCTCTGACTGATCACAAGCCTACTGAAAGCAGCTGGAGCTCTCCCTTAGCTTTTAATGAGTCCCAAAGCAGCTTGCTTTTTGATAAACCACATTTTTCTACCTTCTCATACTGCCTGAATATTTCCTCCTCAGCTGCACAGCCTAGTATTTACTGAGGGCTCCCCAAATATGGCACACCCAGGCACCTAGGACTGGCATGACACATGACAACATGGAAGGTAAAAGGGACAAAAATAGAGAGTTGAGCTGGGAGACAAAAGTAGGGCTCGGAGATACAAAGCCAGTTTCCAGGTAAAGCTTTTAATTCCCACCGTCTGTCTAATGCCCTGGAATGTGACTTGATTTGATCCCTCGCTCTGCTGGGGTGATTCAGAGCTACTGTCATTGCCTACACACACGACCTTCATTTTCCTGAAAGGGGGAAAGATGGCATCCTTGCAGCCCCACAAGAGCAGGGGGAGACAGTTTATATGTTACATTGCTGAGTCCAGCACTGGAAGTGAGAGCCCTGGCTGCAGAGAGCCAAGCCTCTCTGCAGAGGGATACCCCATCCTTGCATGAAGGGAGGACATCCTTTAGAGAAGGCGACAGTGGCCGTCACAGAGTCAACATCACAGCAGGAATAGGGTGATGGAAAAAAAACACATTGTCCCTGTCAACTGCCACATTTCCTCCCAATGGTGTGTGCAAGCTGGGACAAGATCCTGAGCTCAGCACCCATGACAATGCACTTTAGTGGCTTGTTCTGAGGTGCAACAAAGAGATATGGCTGCTCACATCAGATGAGGGCATGGGCTGATGTGCCAAAAGCATCCCATAAAGAGAGCTGGAACACGGATTGCAGGAAAAATCACTCCAACTCCAGCCCAGACTCAGAAAAGCATCGATCCCAGGACAGCCTAATCCAGGTTTCATTTCTATGTTGTTCTGAACCAGGGAACAAGCAGAGGCTTAAGCACATCCCAAGCAAACCCTGTGCCACTCACTCACCCCATGCCCAGGGCAGAGCCATGCAGCAGCCCAGCTTCTGTGACCAAGGAGCCGTCCTGCTGGCGCTATGCAGACGGGCAAACAGAAGGAGGATTCCTACAGCAAACAAAACAGTAGCACATAGATTAAACATGCATCCAAAAATACAGGCTGTCCTCAGGACACACTTCAACCACATTTGTTTCAAACCCTAAGCATCAAATTCTGCTGTCTGTTACTCCAGGTTTATATCAACAAGAACAGGGGCTGATTCGAGTTGAACCAATTCCTTTCAAATGAAAAGCACAGCAGCAGGACTGCACATCCCATCACTTCCCAGAGTCAATGACTGACCCACGGCTTCTTTATTTAAACTTTCTCAGCTCAAACCCAAACAATATCACAGAAACCTTCTGCTCTGCTGCTGGAAAAGACATCAGCCTGAAGAGCGCGTAGATGATGCCAAATTAAAGCCTTGTTACGAAGCCGGGGGGGACTCACACTGCAGGTTGGGAGCAGGGAGGTTTGACAGTCACCCAGGGAGGTGACACAAAGCAGCAGAAGCCTGCACAGCCCTAGTTTGCTTTTTCCCAACCATTTTAAGTCTGTGTTAAACCACAAGTACCCACAGCCTCAGGCATGAGAGGGTGCCAGCAGGTAACACCAGCTCAATCTGGTCGCAGGGGTAGGGAATATCAACACTGCCAGCCCAGCTCTGCCGACACTGCTGGAAGAGACCCCTCCTTCCCTCTGGGGTGACTCAGGAACTCCATTGTCTTCAGTCCACCCTGCTTGTTGTATGAAACATTTCTTCTTCGAATAAGCTTAGCTCCAGTGTGGCTGTGCTCATGGGAAGGGGGTTAATTGGAAAGCAACATGTGCTTTGCTCCTTGGCTCACTCAAGGCACTGTCTTGTGGCTGATGCACAGCTATTGCCAGTCAGGTTGCTTCCCCTGAAAGACCTCTGCCCTCAATTGGTGGGGAGGCTTGGCTGAGCCCACCAAGTGCATTGTGAACCCTACCTGGTTAAACACCCCTTTCATTTGCTAAATAAAGCAATAATAATAACAATAACTAGGAAACTTGGCTAAATAATCCTAAGAAGCTTACTCCAGGCTGTACCGATTAAGGTTCCCCAGCAGTGCCTATGTCCCAGTGCACCCTGGTCCCCACTGCTCCTCTGCATGAATAATTCCGAGGTTATCTGTGCTACAACAGGCCTTGCTAACAACCATCATTCAATAAGATTTAACCAGCAATTATTAGCTGGGAACAAAATCACTGTGGTAAAATACAGCCCACACTCTATTATAAAGCAGACACAAACAAACCCTATCAGAAAGCTAGGCAAAGGGCAAATGCCAGCAAGAAAGAGCCCTCTCCCCTCAAAATACTGCTGAAGGTTCCCAGAGACCTTGTGAAACACCCAGACAGTAGCAAGGGTGGATGGCGTCTTCCTCACTAGCACTTTGCTACCCACAAATGGACCTGCCAGGGAGTTTCCAAGAGGATACGAGGAGGTAGGGAGGCATCTGCTCTCATGTGGATCTTCAGTGCCATTCAGGATGGGCCCAGAATAGCTAAACTTTCAGAAGGGGCTGATGTTTAAATGTGTAGCATATGTTGCCATTTCAATGTGAATCCCAAAATAGTTGGTGTTTTGTTTTGTAATCTTAATGCACTGGTTTTTGGAGTCCTCTGAAATACCTTCAGGGAGGAAAAATATTGTGCACCTGCATCCTGACGTACCATTTCCAACACACTATCAACCACAATAGATAACCAGCTGCTGTAAATATTAGGAATGAGCTTTTCTTGACTTTTTGCTCTTATTTCCCTTATGGTTCTTGAGTTCCCTCTAGCTCCAGAGCCTTAGCAGGGTTTTGCCATCACAAGGCCAGGCAAAGCCACCTTTTTGCATCATGTTGGCTCTTTTTGTTATGTGCCTGTAAGCTAAACATAAATTCAAGGGAGGGGAGAGTTCTGTGTAGCATCAACTCTTATTAGGCTAATTTTATCTGCTCTCAGTGCCTTTCTGAGCTGGAGTCAATGTCCTCTGAGATTATCCAGCTGCTGTGTCTTAGTAGTTTTACCCTGCTTTTACCTCTTCCTGATTGTCTCCCAGCTGCAGGAGGATGACAGCATCACTTCTCCAAACTTCCCAGGTAGCTGGGGCAAAGCCTGATGTTTATTCTGCAGTAGTATCTTACCCTACAGTAGTATCTTACCCTACAGTGGCTGGGACAAACAGTGAGCGTTGTCTTTGGGGAGTTGCACTACTGCCTTCTGTACACTCAGCTCTTCAGACTCCACAGATGTCCAGAAACAGAGTTAACATCAGGATTTAGGGCCCAGCCCTGTTGCTATGGAAATTGCTAGACTTTCTGCTCACATTTTGATGGGAAGAGGCATTTCAGAAGTCACCACTAGCTTCCAGAGTTAACGCAGGTGAAGCCAAGTGAGGGCAGAAAGCAGCCAAGCTTCATGGAGGTAAGGGGAGGACTGCTCCCACCCCATACTCCAAGAACGTGGAGCTGGATGCAAGCAGAGGGAAAAGGCCACCGATAACCGGCAGCATCAAGACGATGCACAGTGAGCTCTGGGGATTCATGAAATAGCATCTTGGTTTTGCAGAATTAAAGAGCAATTTGGCTGCATTAAGAGAGCATTATAGCTGTTCCTCTCCCACATACGCATCAGGCTAACGACATCCTGTCAAAAGC